GCAATATGATGGCAATCCTTCAACCTCATCCCCATAACATAGATAGGGCCAAGGACACCATAAACTACATGTCAACTACAAACTTTTTTAAATGAAAAAGCAGACACTACAAACTTTTGTAGTCTCAAAAAGCGGACACTACAAACTTTTTTAATGAAAAAGCGCAACACTACAAACTTTTGTAGTCTCAAAAGACGGACACTACAAACTTTTTTAATGAAAAAGCGCAACACTACAACTTTTGTAGTCTCAAAAAGCGGACACTACAAACTTTTTTAATGAAAAAGCGCAACACTACAACTTTTGTAGTCTCAAAAAGCGGACACTACAAACTTTTTTAATGAAAAAGCGCACACTACAAACTTTGTAGTCAAGATAACCTTTTGACTCTAACCCTAACTATGTAGTCTAAGTCCATGCTTTTGTAGTCTAAGTTCGACTTTTGTAGTCTTTTGTAGTGTATTAGTAAACTTTGTAGTCTAATTTCGACTTTTGTAGTCTTTTATAGTGTATCAGTAAACTGTGTAGTCTAAGTCCGACTTTTTTGTAGTCTATCAGTAAACTTGGTAGTCTATATCTGATTCTTATAGTACAGGATGCACCTTCCTTTTTTGGTCATTTTTCCCACGATACAATAATTGTAGCCCTTTCTTTTAGCTTTCTGAATATACTGAAATCATGTTATTTGGTTTTGTTTTTATAGAGAAAAACACAAAAAAAAAAAAAAACACGATGCTTTTGAAATTCCTTTACCTAATATCTCCACAACGGGAGCACTTCAGAACATAATTCAAACAGATTCGGGAAGCTACAGTGCAGGGCTACAACTTTCGTTTTTGACCATTTTTCGTAATTGGTCATGTGACCACCCTCCAGGGAAGCCCATTGCATGGACCCTGACATGTGGGATACATTTGAAAAATTGCAATGAAATATCCAGGGATACATTTGAAAATTCACAATGAAATACCAAGGGTATCTATTGAAAAATCACAATGAAATACCCAGGAATACATTTGAAAAATCACAATGAAATGCCCAGGGCTACATTTGAGATTTTGCAATGAAATACCCAGGGTATCTATTGAAAAATCACAATGAAATACCCAGGAATACATTTGAAAAATTGCAATGAAATACCAAGGGATACATTTGAAAAATCACAATGAAATACCCAGGAATACATTTGAAAATCGCAATGAAATACCCAGGGTATCTATTGAAAAATCACAATGAAATGTGCCAGGTATCCATTGAAATTTTGCAATGAAATATCCAGGGATACATTTGAAAAATCGCAATGAAATGCCCAGGGTATCTATTGAAAAATCGCAGTGAAATACCCAGGAATACATTTGAAAAATCACAATGAAATACCCAGGGATACATTTGAAAAATCGCAATGAAATACCCAGGGATACATTTGAAAAATCGCAATGAAATGCCCAGGGTATCTATTCAAAAATCGCAATGAAATGCCCAGGGCTATATTTGAAAAATCGCAATGAAATGTCCCAGGTATCCATTGAAAAATCGCAATGAAATGCCCAGGGTATCTATTGAAAAATCACAATGAAATGCCCAGGGTATCTATTGAAAAATCACAATGAAATACCCAGGAATACATTTGAAAAATCGCAATGAAATGCCCAGGGATACATTTGAAAAATCGCAATGAAATGCCCAGGGTATCTATTGAAAAATCACAATGAAATACCCAGGAATACATTTGAAAAATCGCAATGAAATGCCCAGGGCTATATTTGAAAAATCGCAATGAAATGTCCCAGGTATCCATTGAAAAATCGCAATGAAATACCCAGGGTATCTATTGAAAAATTGCAATGAAACATCCAGGGATACATTTGAAAAATCACAATGAAATATCCAGGGCTGCATTTGAAATTTCGCAGAAAATGCGCTGGGTATCTATGGAAAATTCACTATGAAATACCCAGGCCTACATTTGAAATGCCTTTCCAAAAATCCTAAGCATTATAGATATGGCCTCTAGGCTTAAGTCTAAGTTATAGAAATGACTCTCTAGGCTTAAGTCTAGGTTATAGATAAAAGTGGTAGCCACCAGTCTTTATATGATGAGCTCTCGTTGCCGAGCTGCGACCAAGGCCTGGAAGGAACGACCGAATATGTCTGACAATGAAAAGGAGATATGGCTCTCCCTGTTCAGGGGGGAGTTGGTAAGTCCGAGAGATCCTTGCACCGCTCAAGGTTAAATCAATAACAGGATTTCATTCGGAAGGCTCTCGGCTCGCATGCCATCGAGGAGTTCACGTATGACATCCCGATGTTCCTTCAGGCTTGTGTGAAGGAGTATGGCCCGCCTGATATTGACTGGGCAGTTGTTCAAACTGCGCCGGACTGTTTAGTCCCGGTCTACCTTGACAATTGGTGGGTTGAAAAGGATATTCAAGATCGGGTTGGAGGGGCACGTGATTGGAATGACTTGGAAACATTCGGCGTGGCCTTGCATGCGGATATGGTAAGTAAGCGGCTCATCCCTGATAGACGTTTATCACGTTGGTTGCAGCTCATCAAAAACTACCACACGGGCAGCGAGCTGCCCCTTCCATCGGCGACACTGGAGATTGAGCGTATGAAGAACCTTCGGGCTAGCATTGCCCGAGGGGGAAAAACTTTGGAAGCTGAATTGGACCGTGTCTACGACAGGCTCCACGACCTCGAGGATCGGCTTGAGAGTTCAACAAAGTCAATCCAGGTGATGGAGCATGAGTGGAGGGATGGCTGGTGTATCGCATATGCCGACAGGCTGTTAGCGGAGGATGCAGTTGACGATGATTCCGATGAGGGGCATACCGACGCAAAGTCCCTGTCGGTGGCCCCCCCCATGTCGGCCCAAACTCAGACCCCAAGGATTCCCGTGGCAGCAACATCCCGGCAAACCCACGCCGTTGACATTACTTCGACAACATCTCGGCCTAAGAAACACGCTCCCCCAACAATTCCGCCGGCATCCACTGCCGATCGTACCTCACGCCCTATCGTGCAAATTCTCCAGCGAGCTGAAAGCTTTGACTTCAAACCTCTTCGTCATATCAAACTTTCTTCTTTGAAGCCAGCGCAACTTCAGCCCCAAGGCCGACGAGAGTTGGACGGCCATCACCTGTCATCGTCGGGAGCGCCGGGAGAGTTTGAACGTATTTTGTCAGAATTTTAAATCATGCAATTTGTATCTAGCATTCAAGTGGTAGAAGGAAGCCACTACCTTGAATACGTAACATCGCCTTGACTCTATCCGGCTCGTCCAGAGACAACCATTTCTTAAACACCTCTTCAGACATCATGACCACGTGTGGAACACCCCCCAAACGTTCAGAGACCCTTTCTCTCATAAAGAAAGCAAGACAGTATCGGTCTGTGTCCGTCCTGGATACTCCGTGCCTTACCACCTTCCCAAGAATTGACAGAACTGTTCCGGAGCCATACCGAAATCTAATCCCGATGCCAGGTAATTCCACCTGAAGGTCAGGGTCGACATGGGAGGATAGATTGACCAGAAGGTCGTACATCCAATCTGCATTCTGACCATCCCGGTGCAGAGGTGTTTCTCTTTCACTAATTACCGACAGACCTGTGAAGGCAGTTCCCCAAACCTTCATGATCCGTTGCAAACAATCCTTATCCAGCGTCACTGATGATTGAGGACGGAGACATCGAAGCAGTGCTCCTCGGCCCCCATAATGCTGCTCCGGGTGAATGACACTCATAATGCCACCGATAATCGCTTGGAATTCAATTACCTGCCAAAGGAACTGTTCGCCGGCTCCATTGTCTTCCTTCAAAGACGCCGATGCCTGTAACGGACTTCCATCATGCTGGGTGCTGTTCAGAACCAAATAACCCGAGATTGACTTTGGACACTTACCCCGTGCCCTGCTTGATACCACAACGGGACGAGATTGACAATGCCCAGAGGGTACTTGCAAAAGCATATATTCCGATAATATCTCGGATCGCTCCTCCAGGTGCCATTGCTTTTGTCAGGTACCTGCAGCAACGGGTGAAGTATTTTCGCAGCGGCTCGGACCTGAGCCTGAATTACAATTAGTCAATTGGTAATGACAAGCTAATTGATTTTAATTACCTGTAATTCTTCCGACATAATCCCCGGAAGATACCATGCGAGGATATGCCCCATTCGGTCATTGACTCTTGTAGGGTTTCCCTCGACGACATCAATATGCTCCGGAAATGCGGGAGGGAACTTGGAAGCAATGGCCGTCTCCACAAGAATGCAAGTGCCTGGTATAGAAGAGTGAGTCTTTTTTTGCCCTCGACTGAGTCCATGGTAACACGTACCCGTCGGCTGCTTTCCAATGGCGCCGATATAATCGTCAATGTCCCAGTTGACCACGATTGGCGGGTTTGTCCAGGCTTCGGCGATTACGGCAATAGCTCGTTCACAGTGGGTAACGAGTCCCTGAGACAGTGACTCGGCGGGATAATCATTCGGAAAGTCAAACAATTTGTGCCAAAGACGACTGGCAAGGTAGGTGGAGATGTCGTCGGTGACTGCCTCCAATGCCGTCAACTGAGCCTCCATGTCGTCAAGAGTGGCGAGCTTTTAATGCAAAGGAATTGTCTTTTATACAGCATGCCTCATGCTATCCATGCATCCAGGGTGGCTGTCACATGTCCGGCTATTACCTATTACCCGAAACGAATTCAACTGATTAATGGGATTTCGGGCCGATATGGAAATATTAATTTATGGATTAGATGCTACCAACAGTATTTGCAACATGTACCCCATTTTGTGCCGGAGGCGATGTCATCGGACCAAATTACGTCATACCGCTCGTTTCGGCTGGACAGGGATTGCCAGGGTTAGGGTTATGGTTCTGCCGGATTCGGCATTTGTTACACCGAGCATTGGGCCCAACAATGCAATATAGCCTAATTAAATATTGGGCCCAACCTTGGCCGTTGGGAGTTTATCATGGGTCTCAGTTGGGCCCAATGCCATTGGGCCCAACAACGCAGTATAGCCTAATTAATAGCTTCGGAATATTGGGCCCAACCTTGGCTGTTGGGAGTTTATCATGGGTCTCAATTGGGCCCAATGGGCCCAATTCCTTTTGTGTATCCCTCATTGGGCCCAATTATGCTTCTCATAGTTTTGTTACCTTGGCCCCAACAATGCTGGCTTAACGTCTCACAGACATTGGGCCAAACTATGCCCAAATGGTGCCAACTATGAGAAGGCTTCGATCACTAATAAGTGACATGCCTTAGGTGTTCTTGTTGCTCACCGAATTTCATCAATGCGGACGCCAACTACTACATCTCTCAGCTCAATCAGTGATCACAGCTTCTCTTGCAAAAACCAGCACGGAAGTTGCTCTTCCTGTACATGCGGTGTCCTCACTATTTGCGACGGTGACTACGTCGAAAAGAATGACCTGAAGCTCTCTCTTTTGTCAAGTCAAAGTGCGTTTTTCCTGTCTTTGACACCCGCCGCCTTATTTCTGCTCCATGTCACTGGCTTGTTGCACAGAATACTACACCTCACGGGGTCGACTCCCCACATCTCCATTATATTTCCATCGTCGTCTACTAAGCAGTCCGGTCCACTACTAGCGGTGGGCACGATACTTTTGCAATTTTCGATCTCATTCCAAATTCCAATCTCATTCGCTCATTTATTTTGATGACGCGCCTACCACTTTGCTCCGATACGCTGAAACGCTAGCCATCATTATTATACTCTAAAGCTATTGTCGTCTGCAGAAGTGCAAATAATAAGCAAATTCTCCTCAGCCCTTATTTTCCATCCGAGATTCGTGGTGGTGCTGATACTAGGTCCTTGATGAGAAACAATCAACTGTTTGGTGGCACAAACCAGTAGTAATTGGAAAACCGAGACTCACATCATACGATGGTGGGGTATTGACATCTGTCTGCGATTCCAAGTCTGTATCAATCTCGAGCTCATCTTCTAATCCACACAGGGTACGGCCGAGACGTCCAATGCAGTCAAGCAAGACATGTTGTATCCCCAGCAGATGACGAACAAGATCCATGAGGTGACCGCCAAACTTTCTTCCATGGATAATGAAAACTTTGAGAAATTTCGGTGCCGTTTCGTGTTCAGATTGAGGGTCAACTCCTATGTATAAGAGGGCCTTGAACAAGACGTCTCCCGCGAGGAGAAAAGCGACGATTGATGCTATTTGGAGAGAATGAGGTAGAGATTCTGTAGGACGTATGAGCTTGAGTGACTATGCTCCGGGTTGGATAAACGACTGTGCGTACTGAAGATGAGACTTGAGGCAACGGGAGGTTTCAGGAGAAGGAAGGTGCTTGTCAAGAACATAATTTCTGCAGGAATGCCGAGGACAGGGCGAGTCCGAGAAGGGTTCGAGAAATACCGTATGGAGAGCGGTATCAGGAACAGACCGAATATCGATAATATGACGAGTATCATGTCCAAATGTCGAAGTTAGGAAGCAGGAGGGCAAATACTCTTAGTGAGACATGTGGCTGTGGCCCCGAAAGGAGCATACTGGGACATTTATGTAATTCAAGTTGGTGACGGAAGAGAACACAAACTTGACACACACAATCTGGCATACTATAGAAGAAATCACTGTTGGCGTTGTGTTGGCGCAAATGAGCAGAGTGAGACCACGGAAATGCGGGGGTCGCTCCTGTCCATCTTTGACATCTACTGATCCATTTAATTAACGATAATAAAAAAAGGCGCTCCTCGGCAGATATCATCGTCGAAAATAACGAAAAATTTAGTTTTCACGGTGGGTCATGGTGTGGAAAGACAACAAGAAGTTTCTTCAACAGATCGTCAATATTGAGTCTTTGAAAGTTCAGCAATGACAACCAAATGACAACACCAGCAGGGCTGCTCACGGTAGGATCTGCCTCCTTACTAGATACCTTTGCAGAGGGAGAAACACGCTCCTTGGCTCTACTACATTAGGCCCAGCCTTTTTTTCAACTTTTTTTGGCCTTTTTCCGCTTATGGCCGATGGATGTGTTCAATCCGGATCAGTTCCCTCACTTCCTCGACGACCGCGTTCGCAAGTACATCACGCCGAACCCCTTCATATTCCTCCCTTTCAACGCCAGCTCACGGACGCTTGGGGCAACAGGTAGGTTCGACGTTGACAATATTCTACTAGGCATGCCTTGTTAACTGTCGTCCATGCGAGTATTTGAGAAGAGGTGCGTATTTCTGTTCGTTTTCCGAAACACGAAGCGCTCTACAGACCTACTAGTAGACTACCCTGCTACTACCTACGTAAATGTCCGATCGCCATCAAATTGTGTTCGCATAAGTTTGGGAAATCGCTTCTCTCTTCAAAGTTACGTAGACCCAGCCTAATGCTGAAATCGGAGGTTTACAAATCCCGTGGTTCGGTGGGTCAAGAACATGGCTCACAGATCTTGACGATCTAAGTGGTGTCGAAAGCTGAAGTGATTCTGCATTAAGTAAGCCGGAACCAAGCCGGAATGGAGCGGCTCCTTTCGAATTCCAGTCTCATAGGGGTCTCGCTGTTTGAGTCTTCCCAATTGTTGCCACGGACATGATATTCGGGATATTATTGATATTCGCTCTGCTCTTGATACCGCTCTCCATAGGGTATTTCTTCAACACTTCTTGGATCCGTCCTTTCCTCTGGGTACCAGCAGAATTGACATCCTTGATGGGCGGTTTCTTTCTCCTGAAACGCCACGCCGCCTCAAGCCCTATCTTCGGTAAGCATAGCATAGTACTCTATCCAGCCCAGAACCACTCAAGGATTTTGTTCTACAGAATCCGTACCCCACGCCATCAAAATAGCATCAATAATCCTTTTCTTCATCATCGCAGACGCCTTGTTCAAGGGCCTCGTATTTCTGGGAGCTGGGTCTAAATCCGAAGAAAAAATGGCACTAACCTTCATTAAGTTTTTTGATATTTATGGAAGGAAGTTTGGTGGTCATTTCATGAATCTTGCTCGTCGCGTACTGGGCCTTGAACATATCTTGCTTGATTGCGCTGGAAGCCTCTGTCATGTTCTGTGTTTGGGAATTGAACCCGAGGATGATATAGACTTAGAATCCCAGGCACATGCCGATAGCGTACCATCGTATGATGTGAGTGTTGCATTCATTAGTAATTACTGCATTGTGCTAATTGACTATTCCGTAATCAGTAAAATCACAAGCCCACTTTCAACGCTTTTGAAAGCGTGAAAGCGTTATCGCTTTAGGAATTGAAGCCCGTATTGTTTGAAAAGTGATTTCAGCTTTCAAAAGCGGCGAAAGTGGGCAAAGTGATTTGGGAAGTGGGGGTAAAAGAGGTTGAAAATATGGCTGAAAGATTGCTAGAACTGCATGTAAAAAAGCAATAGAATTTCGAAACATTGATAAAAACAATAGCAATCCAGTTACTAGAGCTGAAGGTCCTGATCATTCCTCCACCAAATGCTCGTCATCATATGTGCCCACGTCATCGGCTGCCGGCTACAGATAACCGCCTTGCACTTGCTCACTCTTATCTTCCCTCATTGTCACCCAGAGACCATATCTCACTTTCCAATACTACCGCTCTCCGCACACTTGGCGTCTGCCGGGGTGGAGACGAACAGTAAACAAGCAACCAGGCCGCTTTGTCCAGAAGCGAAGAGTCGCCGTCGTCCATCGTCGGCGAGGTCAGCGAGCGCCGTCAATATTATCGAGTAAACTGAAGCTTCGCCAAGTCGACATTTTGACGTGCAGGAGGCCTTTGTACTTAGAGATGAATGAAACGAACGGTGAGTCGGTGACCACAAAGCGAATTGCTTACCCACACCCGATGAGGACCCAGTTGACCAAGCGACTGCACCCCATCCATAGTCCGCCTCCACCGTGATAAGCGTCCCGAGTTTGGGCCAGGGGGAAGGCTGGGTGCTCAAAGGAGAGCTTACATTCTCGAAGAGGCCAGCTTGGCCGGTTCTTAACGTGGTTATGCACCCTACGACTGCGTCAGCTACGCATGTATCATTATTATCAGTCCTCAATCAGTAAGGAGCTTACAAAACATTAGCAACAATCTGTTTCTCTTGATACTGCTTCTTTGGGCTCTCCTCGCTGTCAGACTCCAGGACAGTCTGAGAACAGGGGCGACAGAGGGCGAAGCGGTCGGCGGACCAGGGGTGGGAGTGAGAGAGAGACTGGAGGAGGGGGAGATCGCGATAGGGGGCCTAAGACTGAGGCCTGTAAGTCAGTGGAAGGACGCCCTAAGCGATGGGATCGTGGTGCACAGTCGTCACGCTGTGTTACGCTCGATGTGATCGAAAGTCACCAGGTCACGTCTTGTCCTCCCAATAAGTAAACAACGTCCGACAAACAAAACGGCAAGAAAAGGACCTGATCAATCTTGTGTAATGTCTGGGTCATAGAATATTTCTGCGGCGGTCCTGCCACAATCAATCAAGTCAATGAGCATTCTCATATTTAGCGGGAAGAGAGTTGAACATACCGTTTCTCAACACCCTGAACAACGGACATTGCGTCGATAATGGTGCGATGCGCCGGACCTTCTCTAGCCACGCTACTTGGGCTTTCAGTTCCGTTAATCCGAATAGCAAGATGATATCAAAGTCAATATGGTAGTATTTCCCATCCACTTTCGATTGGGGTATTACGATGTGTGATAAATCCGCTTTGATACTACAAATTTGCGTATAATTGTCTAGACGTATTTTCAAGAAACTCGTTGAGGATAATTCACGAAGGGGAAGATCAAAGGTGACTTACCTGAGTCAACGTTCTTCCATTTTGAAGTAGGATTGGTGCCACCGTGACGATAGCAATTAATTGGGCAACTGAAATCTTTGAAGCCCTCTGTCGGTGAAGTGGAATCTTTGAAATAGGACCTCCGGAATTCTTTGCTTTCCGTTACTTGAGTGTTCTAACAAAAATAGAAATCGGAAAAATAAGAAAAATTCATCAGACGTATACACACTTTGGGCAAAATGATATCGAACGAGTGACTGAGCCTCTTTTCGCCAGCAATGCTAACGAAGGGATCCCCGACACGGTCCACATGATCCTGATCACTCGGGTCGTAAGGGATGTGACAGAAGTACCCATATGTCACTTTCGATACACGGCTTTTGACAAAGTGGTCCAGATAGAACGAAATAGCGCCGTTTGAGACTGCCTTGTTTCTGTGACAGGGACACTGAATCCGTAAAAGGAGGAGAGTTTCAAAAATCGCTTACACGTGTGACGTGGTTCGCAGGGCGTATAACATTTAATCCCATAGGTTTGAGAGCCTCGTGAACTTTGTCGAACAGCCAATCACTTGCGGAAAATCCTCCCATTAGAACGACGTGCTGCGGGAATATTGGTATCATTGGGCATAGATGATGAAGAGGACACACTGAGATTCCTTTGTGCGCCGATTTTCGCTGTTCCACAACAGCGTTGACGATAGGTTACCGCATTCTTCGAACCCTCCGTCAAGTGTGGAGTAGGTACTTGAAAAAGTCAGCAAAAACATCGATTATCTTCTTCCAAGGGGGCAGTGGAGGAAGTTGTTCAGAGATGTGGGCAGTCTGCTTTGTTTTCGGCCGGAGATGCAGCTTGAACCTAAAGGAACGTCAACCAACAACCAAACAAAAAAAGACAAACCAGTTGCCCGTTCCATTCCACTTTATACCAGTCACCATCCTCAGCTTGTTCGAAGATTCCTTCACTAGCCGACTCAGCACCAATAGCGCGAACAGACCCTTGCTTGTCATAATAGACTACAGTCGGTATCTTTGAAGAGCCACTGCTATGCTCCTGCGCTGGAAATCTGGAAGCCTTGAGATCTATGCGTATGGAAAATTGGTTAAGATACCTAGTCACCCCCTTCACTTCAGGTACTTGTCCGGGATCGAGGATGCTGCAGGTTGAACATAGAATGAAACTAAATAGAGTTAGAAGTCGACCAAGATACCTGTAGGAGATTCCACTGAAGGTCGTGCCTACATCGAAAGCCATAACAAGTTTTCGACGAGATCCTTTGTATGGCGGCCAGGAAGACATGATGGGTGACAAAGAAGGGAGATCGCTGAGCGCTGGGAAAGGTGTGCTGCTGTGCGATCAATGTGCGATGGGGCTGCCATGCCAGCTTGCTGATGTTTGTAGACTTGCTTTACAAGTCAGTCATTTAGGATCAGCCAATACAACCTCGTAAGAGAATTCTGCTACATGATCTCCAAACCATGCCTGTTCGTCATCTGTGATAGCCGGCCCTTCACCCCCCACTTTCAGAGTCTGCATAGGGCCAGCCCAAAGAAGCCTGCATTCTACCATTTCCTGTAAAACCAAGACAGAAAAATTTGTGCAATCAAAGATGGCCAGTTCCTGCATGCTCATGGCTATGCCCGGCCTTCCCAATTGCTGCAGCACGTCGTCATCAAAGGTTGGACAGCCGACGATTTCAAGTCCCATTCCGTGCCATCTGTCAAGAAATTTCATGAGGTTCACGGTGGGGGCGAGATCTTGTAACACCAAACAAGGGATGTCGAAGATGAAATGGTCGGGGATCGCGTCCAGGGGACACATAGCGAGCTTGAGGGTCGTAAGGCCTGGATGCTGACATTCGAAGAGGATGGCGAGGAGCGTGTCGACGCTGAGGTCTTCCAAGACTAGCGTATCGAGAGTGGGAGAGAAGTGGGGAGTTTCGGGCGGTGGCATATTGCAGCTGTTGAAAATGATTGATTTGAGGATTAGCTGGCGCAATGAGGTGAGCTGTGCGACATCTCCGAGAAATGTATCCAGATTCAACCGGCCCTTCTCAGGCCTATTGATCCCTTCTTCTCCCTCAGCTCCACTAGCCCTTTCCCCATCAGTTCCGCCTTCTCCGCCGTTCCCCTCTTCGTCTTCTGCAGGAGATAGGACGGAAACGCTGAGGTACTCCAACTGAGGAACAAACTGCGTTACCCATTCCCCCCCGTAAGCGTTTCGGAGCCGTAGGAAGTTGGCACCATCGATATCGAAGTTGTGTAGTGCTGGGCAGACGAAGACATCTCTATCATACACATTCAAATCGTCATCAGCATCATCTCCCTCGCATTCCAACCTGAGTATCTTCAAAATCGGGGCAGTGCCACGCAGTTCCTTCAGGATCACTGGCAAGGAGGAACTGCGAATCGTAGAGATATAGAACATATGCCAGCGAGATATGTGGGGCAGGAGTAGCTCCATTGCGCTTCGCACCCGAGCGGCTTCCTCCATGTCGTACATGAAGTCGTCGCCCAAGCTCATCCTCCCCAAGGTAATCTCCAGCGGAAGATCGCGCGACCACTGTAGCTGGTGCTGAAGATCGATGAGGGAAGATCCCTCATGTCCTGAGTCAAGAAAAAAGACAACCCGGGTCCAAAACGCTGGTACGCTGGCAGCGATTACGCGCCATTTGGCGCAGACAGAAGCGATGTTATAGGGAAAGAGACAGGAATATCTGAGTTCTTCGTCGCGCCTCCAAATGCACTTGTATACCCCAACGATCTCTGGGACCAGAGAGTTGCTGGAAAAGTAAAACTCCCTTTCGTCCGTGACTTCCTCGCGGTTTTGCATGTACACAATTTTGAAGATCGTCAACAAGATTTCTGTAGGGAACATGTCTGCAGCTGTTAGGCTGGACCAGCAGCGCTTTAAAGGTCACGTAAGTTAAAACGTCGCGTAGTGTATACACGAAACGCACGATATGCAGCCAGGTGAGGTAGTGGTGAAAGTTCGATGTAAGGAGCCAGTACCGGTTATACGCGACCTGAGTCACCTGACGAAGTCATGCCATAGAAAACTTCTGCACGTGACTCGATCTATCGCGGAAGGTTTCCGAAGTGGGCGGGCTTCGACTTGTTCCTCGACGACGACGACACGGCCTTGAGACTTTCGCTCCTAACAACGACGGCGACGCTACCTTTAACAACAGAGGCGATACGTATGGTGCGTTACTCTGCACTTCCCAGAGCTCCTGAGACCTAATGCCAGTGACAACCTACAGAGCACCCGTAATGCCAACAGTTACATAGCACTCAACACCTCAACCTCATCATCTTCCTCGACGTTTGAGTCTTCTCCTTCGGGGCTGGTCTCAACTGATTATGACCTAGAATATGCGCCTCTGCTACCGCCCATTCGAGGGGGGAAACAACACAAAGGGTCACTGACCATTCTCCCTGACGGGCGAAGCTATACATACGCGTATGGACCACCTGGGCTTGCGGGGCTCTGGTATAATGGGTACGCGCTTGCGTGTGCGTTCTTTGCTAGCATTGGAGGACTGGAGTTTGGGTATGACCAGGGCGTGGTGAGTATATCTACGTGTCTCATGGCGTTTGAATGTATTCAGATGCTTACTATGTGCTTGAGTAGATTGCAAACGTGCTAGTTATGGAAGACTTTATCCGCCGTTGGCCCATTACACCGTTACAGAAGGGGATTTTGAGTAGCTAATTTTTTCTATCGAACCAAGTTTGGTTTCCTGATGCCCAATTTCCAGCTGCTGTCCTTGAACTCGGGGCTCTGTTTGGTGCCCTTGCAGCGGGCTTACTTGCAGACAGGTACTCACGTCGACATTCAATTATACTCGCTTGTGGTACGTCTTTGTTCCTTTTCAACCTCTTGAACCCACACTCAGTCTGTCCTACCTCATCACAGTAATATTCACAATCGGGTCCTCCTTCCAATGTTTCGCACAGAACCTGCCACATATTTTCATCGGACGCGCGATTGGTGGCGTTGGCATTGGTGCGCTGAGGTTGGTTTTCACTCGCTCTCTTTTTCCCCGATCTTGCGCCCTGAGACTGACCGAATCTCGCAATACAGCATGCTCACCCCACTCTACATGGCGGAAATTAGTCCGCCCGAAGTCCGCGGTTCACTCATGGCGCTTGAACAGCTGTCCATCGTCGTTGGTGTGGTGTTGGGTTTCTGGATTGGGTTTTGGACACGGAATGGTGAGATTCGCTTTTTTGCCTTCTTTAGATTCAGCCGCACGTCTATTATCTACTGTAGGGTTCATTATCTTATATGCCCCTTCATGTCACAACCCAGCTCCGCTCCGCTCCTTCCCTAGCTCTCCCCATCCATCGCTCGTCCGCAGAGCCCCTTTGGTCCCATCATCTTTTTCTCCACCCTCTTTTCCCTTTGCCTCCCAGACTTCTTGCTGAATCCTTATACCCGTCTTCCTAGTCCCCGGCGCCATGTCATGGCGCATCCCCCTCGGTATCCAACTTATCCCAGGGCTGATCCTCGCAGTTGGCACCTTGTTTCTCCCTCCCTCCCCACGGCTGATGGTTCTACACGGCCGTCACGAAGACGCCGAACACAGCTTGACGATGCTTAGAGGGCGAAACGGAGCTCAAGGCGGGTTGGTCAAGGTCGGCATCCTTCTTTCCTTCCCTCTTCTTCTTTTTCACCTCTCTTTCTCCCTCGCCTTGCTCCCACTAATAGTCGCTGTTTGTACACAGGTTGAGTTACTGGAAATGCAAGTTGAGACGATCCTTGTTCAGCGTGTGGATGGGGACAGAACGACGAAGGGTGTTTTTGATGAGTTGAGAGTGTGGAAGAGGCTTTTTGGGAAGAAGTATAGGGATCGGACGATGGTTGGGGTGTTGATTATGGTGTTTCAACGTACGTTGTCTTGTTGTTCTGTTCTCTCTTTTGGATCGGTGTGGAGTCGTCTATGTGTACGACTGTTGGTCGTTTTTTTCCATGGTGCAGGGTATGGCTTTGACATGGTTCCGCATGTTCAATGCGTCCTATTGCTTTCTTCGACCATGTGCACTTCATCGACACTCTTGGCTTTATCACCTACGTTTATCTCACCTTCTCTTCATTTAGAATGGAGTGGTATCAACGCTCTGCTTTACTATGGGCCAACCTTGGTGCACAGCATCGGCCTCCGCGGGGACTCGATCACTCTTCTGGTATCGGGCGGCATAGGCATCGTGCAACTCCTGGCCGTTTTGCCGGCCATTGTGTATATCGATCGCTGGGGTAAAATTTATATCACTTCTCTGTCCTAGATGAAGCTCATGTCGTTTGCAGGGAGGAAACCACTCCTGAGAGGTTCGTCTTTTTCAACATGGCAGGATGAATTCTAACCTTCGTATCGCCAGGTGGTGCCGCAATTATGGCTACTGCTCATTTGACGATCGCGATGCTGGTGCGTGTGATGAGCTTTTGTCCCTTCTTTAGCCAGGGCTAACGAAGGTCGTCAGGTGTCAACGTTTGAAGATGAGTGGGCCGATTATCCGGCGGCCGCTTGGATTGCTGTTGGGTAAGTTAACCGTTTTCCGGTGAAAGGGTTTGATACGGGCCAACTTCTCCACCTCCCCTTCAATGTTATCTCTGCCTGTCTTGCCGCTCCATCTCCCCGTCATCGTAGAGATATGCTGAATGGCTTCATCTTAGAGGCATCTACGTCTTCACAGCTGCGTACGGCGTTTCATTCGGTCCTATTGGATGGGTTCTCCCTAGTGAAGTCTTCCCTCTTTCTATGAGAAGTAGGGGCGTCGCTCTCTCCACCGCGTCAAACTGGTTCAATAACTGTAGGAACTCTCTATCTATCTCCTCCCTCTCGTCTCCTCACGCCCCGGTTCTTCACAACAGTTTTGATTGGCTTGATAACGCCCGTAGCTATCAACTTCTCAGCATCGTAAGGCTCACTTCTGTCCTGCGTGTCATTTTGCATAACACGCGATGATAGAGGGACCTTTATGATCTTCTCAACGGCATGCTTTTTTGCGTACCTTTGGTCAACATACCTTGTTCCGGAAACGGCCAACGTTTCCCTTGAAGAAATTGATGCCATCTTCACGTCGTCTGCTGGAAGGGAAGACTTGGAAGTCAAACACCAGGTTCGTTTGCTTCTCAATGCCGCGATTCGAGTCCGGCGAAACTAATTGACATTGTCATCATAGATAGAAGAAGAATTGGGCTTGACCGCATTGGTTAAGGAGTTAGGAGAGGAGTAATTATTATTATAGTACATATGTACAATATAGGCTGATACTTAATGTTTTTAGTAGAGTCGTGTGCCCCACTCCACCCCTGCACGCCAATCAAAACACACACGCGAGCCTATCATAATTAGTCAATCTATCTGGCTATACCTTTCTCGCCTTTCTCAAGTCACAAACCACAGATGATTGACGATATCTTTCGGCTTTTCTCGGTGATCTGGCTGCAGTTGGAGAAGCCCATCAAGGAACGCTGCCGTTCCAACGACGTCGCGCCTAGCTATTTTCCTCTGCAAAACTGTTGCAAGGGAGATCGGGTAGTAAGTGGTGTCTATCTTGAGGTTACCTACGGGTTATCTAGCATCGTGGAAATGGAAAGTTTGAAATTCCGTGGAACCCTCACCTTCTTGCGTAAACCAGCGCTGGCTGTATTTCCCTGACAGAACCATATCCAATGGGAAAGTTCCGAAGAGTTCAATTATTTGAATGAGATGCGATTCGTCAGATGACAGTCCTAGTTCGACCGTCTGAAATTGGGGATCGAAGAGGGCCTCTCCTGTAAGCAGCTCGAAGAGCTGTAAATACAAGCCGTCAGCTAAACCAAATTAGCATGGAAGAGGGAAATTTTCCATACGACGCATCCCAGGGTCCAGATATCCGTACTAGAATCGCAAGGACCGCCAAGAATGTATTCCGGCGCGCGTAGTGCAGGGCTGTCTGCATACGTCAAATGGTACCCGTCTTCGGGTACTTCGGGAAATCTCAGCGGCGAATTTTAAATAGGATGACGAGGGGAAGCGCTTACCTGTGGGAACCGTTGATAAACGGAAGATAGGGTTGGAGTCTGCGGAAGCGAGGAATTCGTCAAGAAGAGTGCCCGCAGATGATTCTGAGAGCGCCAAGGATGTTTGGGACCCATTGCAGAACTGGAATATCAGGCACCTCATGTCCGTTGGAGAGAGTAAGATGGTGTTTGGATTTATATCTGCAGAAATCGGTTACTGAGCGAGCAAATGCGACAAAAAAGAGATGCCTGCCTCCATGCGTTCCACACGAAGCGTGTATCTTTTCCAGTTCGCGAATGATGTCCCTCGCGATGAGCTTCACGATTTGAATGGGGAGTTGTTCTCCAGCGTGCGCACACAGGTCCGCGACCGATGCGTACCGCTCAGATGGGTTGAGCGTGTCCCAAACACGCGCCGGAAGGTAAACCTCCCTCGAAGAGGGTTCGCCATGTTTCTCGCAATCCCAATACATTGTACTATCATATGCCGTCGTGCGGAGCGACCTTTTACGTTTTCCGAAGAATTTGATTGAGCGCATGATCCGCTTGAGGTTTTCCAGGAGAGTATAGCTGGGCGGGCGCATCGTTGACTTGAATATGGAGGGAGAGGCAGAGATGAGGTATAAAGAGTAGTGCGTATTAACCGTCGACCCTGCTGTGTTTGGGACTGCTTCTGTGATGGAAGCTGAAATTTCTGCGTTTGATAAAGGCGGCGTTCAGGGCGTGAGGCTTGCAGTTACGTCCTATCCACCTTGTCTCAGCTGTCCGAGCTTCCAGTACTAGAAGCAGAGTCATCAGATGGTGAAGTAGAAGCAAGAAGCGTTACGATATTACTATTAGTACTATAATACTTGGAAGCTAATACACGTAAACACCCATGTAGGTAGGTTCTTAGTTCAAGGCTCCTGGAATCACATTCACCCAGTCTGTTCCCTTGATGGGATTCATCACATTGTGCCTGGAGGGGCAGATGAGAAACGATAGCATTGCAACAGGCAAGGAAAACCTACTTGGCCTTTATATGACACCGGACACCTCCTTCATCGAAGAGCCGCTTCGTCGAAACCCCGCAATGTGTACACCTGACGTTCTTCGTGGGAGCACCACTTTGCGTAGGAGGTGGTGTCATATCGTAAATGGCGGGAAGACACTGTGTCAGCTTTCCAAAGTCCATCACAAACAGATCCTCAGGTTCCGCCGGTAATGCAACATCGTGTCTAGAGTTATGTTAACCTTTCAAGGCAACGACACGTGTCTGAGCCACTTACATGGCTTTAAGATGTTCTATAACAACTGCCTTTGTCTTCATGTCATCTACAAAATCGGAGCACCGGTTGCACGACCAGCACGCGCCTTGGGCTAGCGCACCGATATCGTTAACCAGCTCTTTTTGCTTGATTGTTTGAGTCTGTTTGACGTTGAGGACTTCCCATGTGGGTTCGCCATGGCCAAGCGATACATGGGTAATCTGGAGGCCAGATTATCGTTAACCAAGCAAAGGAATCGAAAGAGAAATCCAAGCCGTACTGCGCTCCGCCACGTGAAAACGGGTTTCCCATACACATTCTTCGCGTGATGACGAGCTGGACACGCCGCGCACATGAAGCGTAAATTTCGCTCGTCCATCTCCGAGGCAGTCGTAAACAAGACAGGTAAACCTGCGGCCTTAACTATCGAAGCAGCTGTCGCCGCAGCCCTACGAACTTGAAGCTTGGTCTGAGGTTCTTCGTGGTGTGCATAATAACCCCTGCAGTGATGAGTGCTTGCTTCCGGCCAACCGATGAATAACTTTGACGAGCTGCAAGCGGTACCAATTGAACCACACGAAAACACGGCAGTGGCCAAGTTCAGTATGTCAGCGCTCTCAGATGACTGTGGAGGAGCAGGGGGATGCGCAGATGTCGGAACGTGTCTTCTCGTGCCTATCACTTCATCCAAGGGTGGCACATCTCTTGTTAAACTCAACCTGGAGGGTGCTTCGGCCGAGGCTGGTGTCCCAATTAACGTGCTTTGGGCTTCAGTGAGCAATGTCCTTAGCCCCGCCTTTTTGCTTTCGATCCATTGGATGATAATGCCAGGGAGTTGATTCATGACACCGGAAAAACTTGCAGCTGTGATATCAACGGTGCTCTCGGCCTCGATGTGCTGGGAGAATTCAGGGGTTCGACAGATGTCGGAGACACGAGGATAAGAAGGTAGTTGTAATGGGACAAGGGTCTTCCTGTAAGCATTGTACAGCTCCTCGACGATTTTCTTTCTGCTGTTGACCAGAGCCTTTCTTTCGGAGAGTAGACGGCTATCTCTTCGTTCTTGGACGAGCTGTTCCAGCTCAGGTCGGAGCCTTACCCAGCCTTTCAATGAACAAGTCAATTCATGATGGTATTTTTCGTTTATTCGCCCTGACTTACTTCGATCGTTAAGCTCAGTGGCCTTTTGCTCATGCCAGAGAGATATCGAATTCACGTCCACTTCCAAGTATCCGAGCCCGAGGAGCCGAGCTCGAATCCTGTTCCAAACATTGAGATTAAAAGATCGTGCTGAGAAGAAATTGGCCTGTTCTCACTGAGCTTCCCTCCTCGTTTTAGCTTGCATCAAGTCATTCGAACGCTGAGTGGCCATCTTAGCCGTCCAGTCAACGCAAATACTGGCATACTGTTTAACTCGTTAATATCTTTGCAATTGCGGAATGAAGAGCCAACCTTTAGAACCTCGATAACATGCGCTTTCCGATCCTCAATGAATTCGTCGAGCTTTTTCTTCGCCCCCGGTACACGCATGTGAATATCGTGATGGAACTTTGCCAGCATTATGTTCATAGCTTGAATGTCGGTGTCCCAATAAAACTTGCTAGACGTCGAATGACCATGCGACCAACCACCAACTGAAGAGATAAGATTAAGAGACGTTGACTTTGAAATTTGGCGTACCAGAAGTATACGGGAGAAGGTCCAAGATTGATTTTTCAAGGTCCGGGAAACGTGAATTGAACTTGGAGGAGACGAACAGGCTAAAAAATGAACAATATTTAATAGGTGTATACAGGAGAGAAGTAGTTGGCTCACTGTGCCTTCTTGCAATTGGTGCAAACGCGGCGTCGCAGAGCGAAGTCCACCCGAGGAACACCCTTTGTTCCACATTCCTTTGATAATAACGTCAGCGGATCGAACCGGGAGTATGGCAAAGCTGGCGCACTTGACAGTGCGTCATGAACAAAAGAATTGCCCAGCGCGGACCAGAAATGTCACTCGGGCAGGAAGGGCTTCCTACTCCATTCAAAGAGGTATTCCACACGGTGGTGGCGGAACGTGACATCAGAGTTTGTCGGAATAGCTTGTTCGTCCTTGACACATTGATGAAGTCTTTAGGTGCAAGGCGACCGAAAATCTGACAGAATGGAGTTGGAGAAGGGATTGAAGAATGAGGCGGGGGATAAATAAGGAGTACCTCAAAGAGCACATCTAACGGCATCTTGGGCAGGAGACTGAGACTACGCGTTGGTTTCTTTTCTGCAGCCTTTGATAATCTAGGACGCTTCGCTGGACGCGCCGCTTTGCTCTTCGCTCCTAGTACCTCAATTAGTGTAGACACCCAAAAAATAGTGCAATACCCACCACCACCGTATTCCGAGCCAGAATCCTCCTCGGAGTCGCTCTGAGACTCTGCCTCGATGTCATAGCCCTCCTCCTCCGAGATATCTGGTGAGTCCTCCACCTTCTGAGCTTTCTCTTCTCGTTTCTGTCGGACACGTCTCATGGTCGTAAGAAAGCTGTTGCGATGGTGAAACGACGAATTTCGCTTTATGTAATTCCAAATCAATAATTAAAGTTTGTTTGCGACCCTGTGACTCGGTCCGCTTCCGAGCAATTCGGAAAGGATGATAGCTGCTTGCAATAGCTGCAACGACTTGTCAACGATAAAAGCTCCTCTTCAAGAACAACCAATCGTATTAGGGTAAACGGCAGTCAGAGTTGGCTTCATGCAGGCCACAGCCCACGTTTCACCGTCAGCATCTACCACCCTGATCTTTCGCCTTGTGGCGTTACTACACAGCGGCGGTGTGGAATTGGATATTGTGTCCGTTCATGGGAAGTCATTTCATGTAAATGTACAAATACATGTTCTTCTCGAGACCCGCTCCGCAAAATCGATAAGTGGCATCCGAGTCGGAAGATTGTCAACGAGGCCGTTCCACCCGAACGACGTCTTATCAGTCATTATTGGCTTGCTTCATTCGTGGGCCGCAAGATGGCGTTGTGAAGACTATAGGCGATGTGGCATACGGAGACAGATAGGGAATATTTTTCAACAGTTGTCTCGTGGCAATACAATATTTAAATTTGATTCCATCAAGAGGAATCTTCACCTTTGGAGTGCTGGCTGTGAATAAGACAAGCCCAATGTCTTCGGCTTGTCGTCCCCGACTCGGTATGGTGACAAAGAGGCAGCTCAACAACAATAGTTCCGGAGATATGGGAGATATACCTAGTGCCTCATCCACCTTCAGAGCTTGTTCAGAGCCTCGGAATTCCACTGAGTGAAGCCATACTGCTCTTTCCGAGTCGGAGATGTGATCTCTTGGGCACCTAATTTTGACCACTACTGGCGGAGTGGTCCGGGCTCGGAGCATGTGGGCAAAAGGCAAAGAACAACGTTGTAGATGGAATCCGTGTCGGGGAGCAAAGATGTTTTTTTAGTTCGTCAACACATGTTGCCCATGCGACGGCAGAAAGCATGCACCGGCACACTTTACCAAAGAAGAGCGCAGATATTAGCTGAGATCCCCCACCGCGAGCCGGAGACTTATTAGAACAATAGCCCATATGCTTTCGGAGCGAAAGAAGCGCTCATATTGTACGAAGTGCACGGTTCGAATGTAAAACGGCAAAGAACGTCAGAGATGATCAGAAGTGCCTCGACTTAGATTGGTCATGCCTGTTCACCGAAAGAAACCTCGAGCACACGACGAAACGATTGTCATATCTCCGACTCGGAATCGTGAAATCTTATTGAGGAGTCCATGGCCACGTTCAGATTCCCAGATGCATCGGCACCGGGGTAAACCTTGTACGGTGGCGGCGGATGTCTACAGGTCATCGTTGACCTTTGCAAGAGAAATTGACAGGTTTATCGTAATGTAGGCGACGACGGGGATTCAACGCCGCTCAGTATCGTCCACAAATAACCGAATAGCAGGAGTGAGGTAGGTCGGGATTCGGGATGGCCTTGAAGTTTCCTTTTCTGTGCTAGGCATGTTTCGCGTTGCTTCGAGATGCATGCGCTGATCACGTTTCTTAAATACCTTGTGGGTCGTAGTTGTTTCCCACCTCCTTTGAAGGCAGGCACATGCTCAACATTCAGTCAGTTGTGATTCCCTAAAACGTGCCGTTAGCATGTTTTACACGAAGGATGCTACGAAGCTCACCGAAAGGTAAGCGGGTGGGGGCGAAGTTCCAGCTGGAGCCTACTAGGATGCTCAAAAAAAAAAATTAAAACCTAACAAATAAGAACCATTTTCCAAAGGCATGTGTATTTAACGTACCAGTCAGGGAGATTGCGAATTAGATTGACCACACAACCCCCATGGTGACATTCAGCCAACTAACCAAACAACGCGTAAGCGTCCTCACCCCGAATACGGCCCTGAAAACTGAGTCAAATTAGAGATGAGTCTAACTGGACCCACACAGGCAAACCGGTGTTTGTGAGTGGGTGGAGGATGCGCTGGTGGTACGTAATTTAAAATCGTCAGAAAGAGTCGTTAGGGCTTAGTACTCAGCGGATTTCTACGGAATAATTCATCTTGCCCTTGCTTGATATTTCGGCCGAAAGATGGTATGGCAAGTTGAGAGTCTCATACACCACAACGGAAGCCTTCCAAATATACACATGTCCCAGGCACGTTGTTGTATCCTTAACATGTACCTTACAAGTCCGTCAATTTCAAGCGTAAGAGCGGAGATGCACCTTGCTTGTTTTTTCGGACCAAGATATTGTGCACTCAACGAGTGAATTTTGAGTGGCTTTGAGCCTTACATATGTACATCCTTTCGTACTCCGTTGGACGGGCTAGTGGTGGTTGTGAGTAAGTGAGCGGAGTGATTCGAACAATTTTCTTCCCACGATCTTTACCTTCCACGATCACTCTTCTCTTGCATGCTGCCGGTAAGCAACGAGGGGAAAGGTTGTGGGTTACACATTACAGATGGACAACCACCCGTGCAGTGCGTACAACTCAAAGCGGTGCTCGATTATGAAATGAAGCTGTCTTTGGTGTGTTTCCCGAACTGCTAACTCGCGGCCAAATCCTGACAGATCCTGCTAAATCTACAGCTAAATTATGAACCAAACCTGACGGTATTCTCCTGCACGCTGGAGCGAATGTTTCGATTTCCCTTGCCTACCAACCTACGGCGCTATTCTAGTTCAAATCTGATTAGGTTATTTGAAATACAACATCCGTCTGACGTACCATCTTTTCCTGTCTTTTAGACTCGCTATAGATGAGCACCAAGATGAGGAAAACCTCGTCCTTTGCAAGCGCCTTTCTTGAGAGGTGAAAAACCATTGGCGTCGTCTTTCCAAATAGTTTGGGTCGATATGGTACGTCAAAAGTCCCTTCGACAGTCACGTTTTTTGAGTTGTTGATTTTGACCTAACCTCCGATCAGCTCGGAGCATGTTCTACGACCCTCGCACCGACACACCTTCCACTCTTCTTCTTGGAAATCGACAGCGTATTCCCTCCTATCGGACGACCATCTCCAGTATCTCTCTCTAATCAATGTGACGTCAGCCTCGCACGAATCAGTAATAGGGCAACTGACTTGTTTCTAAAGCCCTGCGGCTTCCTCCTGATATCTTTAAGCGATTTCTTGTGCCCACCGACCTCAAATATCTTCTCGTTCCAATGTATAACCCCAACAGTTGTCGAATCGCCCAAGGCGGGGTTGGCATCTTTGAGGAAAGTGTATCTCCGCCCCCAAAGCCCTTCGCTGGTCGTGACGGAATAGATGACCGTGTCGTCGTGAGTGGTTCGTATCTTGGCGTTAAGAACGTTAGTCTTGTTATCGAATTTTGCCTCCATGGATGATGGCTTAAGCGACGTGGTAGCAGCCTCGTGATTGCAAAGCTTCTTAGCTTGGACGCTGGAGGCGAGACGTAAAAGTTATGCAAACCCCCACGCAACGCTTGGAACGCAGACGTACAAATGAGGTCAAAGGGGAGTTCTTTGATATCAGGCCGGGTATGGCTGACCGCTAAACGACTTCGTCCGGCACTTCATCCCGATCACGCCTAAGGTTAGGGGTTCGCCGTGCTCGTTTGCACAAATTTATTCATCTGAGACATTGGTTTACTTTCGGGCTGTTGCCGTTGACATCACCGCTTGTCTGCCATCATTCATCTCAGGACAACATCTCCATATTTACACCGATGAATCTCGACTCAACGCAATCGAACGACAGACTCACACAGCTTAATATCAAGTTGGGAGAAGTGCTAAACCGCCTAGATGCAGTTGAGCGGGAGAACCACCTGTTACACGCGAAACTGATGGAGTTGGAAAGGGAGGTGAGATTCGCTGCTTAGACGTTACTGTGATTAGCTTATGATAACTTCAGTTAAAATGCACGGGACCTGCGAGAGGCGCTTTCAACATGCCCAGCATGACTCGAAGGAGCAGCAGTGGTAGCGACGTCGCTAATTGGAGCGTTGTGCATGACGCCGCCAATGATTCAGATTAGACGCGCTTGTCGGCCTATCCGAGTCGTGGGTGTCTAAATATCTATTTCAACGACCTTACCTTCAACGTCACTAGGTGAAGTAGTCCCCTCAATTACGGCTTTTCTTCACACATTGCATCTAACACTTATAATACTTAACTTGCAGACATAAAAGTGAGTGGTGCGGGTGACTAAGTCTCCGTAGAAGTCACCACTGGCATGAGCTATTATGTGAGGCTAGTTGACTTGATCTTCCGGCGTCGTCGTTGGAAACCCAACGTCAGTGAACCCCAACCGACATTTCTTTGGTGCTTGAAGCAGGAGACGTGGTATGGAAAACCCTTCCTAGTTCCGCTACAATCTAAAAAAGAAGAAGTGAATACAAACTTCGACTTTTCACGCGCGCTCAGTCTTCGATTCGAACGAGGCTTAACACAGTTGACACTATGTGGTGGCGTTAAAGTTAACGACGAACATCGCCAATGCAGTGGCATGAACTGCGTACGCGATAACCACTACGCTACCGAGCTGTATGAAGCAACTGTCCATGATCGACTTCTTACGTTCCTATAATAGGCTGAGCCTTTGACTCTACAAGTTCATTGACAAGGTTTTGCTAATGGCCGAGAGCGTATGCGATTTATCCAAGAAATTAAGACGCGTTATACCGACCATCTGTGAGAACCGCTCTCATGAAGGGATTGGTTGGGTTACCAGTTCGGAATCCTAGAATACAAAGAGAAATAGCCATTCGCGAAGCCTATACTATTGACATTGACCCGTCGGAACGCGGTGTGTATGAGGGTGTTTGGTTGCTGTATTGCGAACAAAAAGAATTGGTTTAGCGGAAACAGAACAGACGGCAGAAATTCACCTTAATCAGCAGAACCTCATTTTCGCTGATGGTATGAATTTAGAGTCAACTGTAGATCCACGAAAGTGAGGGGTGGACTGACTCGCAAAAATAACTGTGAATGAAAGGTTTGATCAGGAAGGTTTTCGAACTCGGAGAGTATGAGGGTTGTATGAGGGTACTTACAAGCCATTTTCCCAGAAGAGTTTATTGCTATATAGCAGTGTAATAGCCCTAGGATGCGGTGATATCAATTTCTCAATTTGCATCAATCATAAGTAGTAGAAACAGATACCATTGCCACGGTACACCTCCTTCCTCAAGACTCCGTCTGTGTGGAAAATCTCCCCAACACTTGCTGAATGCCACAGAGGATCTGTCTCACTCTTTAAGTCTGAATTTACATTAAATATTGAAAGGTCTCAATGATTTATGATTCACCACTTTCGACGGCTTCGATGCGCTTTGAAAAACCTCGGGGAGCAAGCGGCGAAACAGCAGCCGTGGGCTGTGATGTTGTTTCCCTGGGTTTCGAGTATACAACTGCTATAGGTTCCTCTTCGCTAGCTCCTGGATAGCTGTCAGTAAGAAAGATGATGATATCGTCATCCTTCATTGTAATCTCGCCGCCCCCATCCTCGAACAGTTGGCAACTTCGACCCGACGCTCCTTCGGCTTTGGCAAGATGAGCTTTCAAGGAGGCAACAGTGTGGGGCGGTGGTACGCAGAGCATGTTGATCCGACCCAAAGACGAGTCGTCCTCATCAAATGATGTTTTCGATGCCACCTCGCCACTTTCTTCGTAAACCCGATAATGTACTAACTGTTGGTAAGCCTGACTCGTCTTGAACGATTACATAGGATTGAAGAAGTACCGTAACGTGTGGCAGTTTCATCGAGCTGTTCAGAAGGCGGATTACTTGGAGCTGGTGATCGTTTGTGGCAGGCCTGAGTATCAACAATTAGAGCCATCGGCTCAAGTTCAGATAGTCCGGGGCCAGATTTCGCTCGAAGTGAGAGACGTGTATCATCTTCTATGGGTACCCTTTCCACGAGCGACAGAAACAGAGTACATTTTTCTGCCGTTTCAAAGCCTTCGATCCGGCAGAGGTACTTCTTCAGAGAGGCAGCGGTATGCGGGGGTGCCACGGATTTAGGCAAGATGCGACTGATGAAGCGGTCATTAGAGTAAATGGGGTTGACAGACTCGAGTGGGCCGTCCGCAACGTATAACCGATAGTATACTGGAAGAATGAAGTAAGGTTGACATCGTAGAGGGTGAATTGGAAAGAACGAATCGTACTGTAGCGGGGCCCTGATTCTGCTTCAGGCACCTACGCGATCGTGCAATGATCATCGAAATCAGACAGATCTCAAGCGGCGGAGTCTGCACACACTTACTGACTCAATTCCTCCTCGACCGTCAGATGTCGCAGCAGCTCTATCGGGCTTCCCATCACTGTACAGTCTCGCGCGGTCTTGGAGTGTTGGTGGCTTCTGGGCAGGACGTACAGGTGGCGGAGGGGGCCGGTGTTGTTTCGGAGATAGAGGCGAAGTGCCAGAGACGCTCCCATTCGCACCATGTGATCTGCGATGCTTTCCCGTGGCTGGGGGTGGGGGAAACCTCCGAGTCGTCTTCTTCGGCGTGGGCTTGTTCTGTTCGTAGTCTCGGACAAACTGTTTGATAAATTCCAGGTTTTCTTCGATAATCGCCCTGTCTACATCAGCGCTCTCGAGGTTGTCGAGGAACGCGGTCCAGGAGGGGTGGACGGCCTTGGATGTGGTTGACGAGCTTGCTTCAACGGTGCTCATCTTGGGGGTCAAGAATTGCAGTCGGTGCGAGATATCGTCGATAAACTATGGGAACTGTGATTAGCGCTGAGTGCCTGACGGAGTCATGTGCAGTGGTGAGATGGAATAATTGATGCGTTAGACTGGGCATTATTTTATCGCTCACAAAAGTATGGGACAAACCTTGAAGCTTGAAGCTTAATGCATAACTCCTGGCCTCCGAGCTCCAGAGCTCCAGGGCTGGAATCGAAAATGCTAATCAGGATGAAAAGTTTTGGAACAGTTCGCCTGGGGTTTTTCGCACATTGTAGGAGAGGTTCACTATGTAAGTATAGTTATTTGCATGAATTTACAGAGTGGGTGACTTCCCGTAACATAAATTTATATAAATGAATAAATCTGACCCTTATCGGAGTTTGAAATGGGAACCCTGGCTTGCGATTTAATCAAGCAAATAAACCGTAACGCCAACTGATTAGATTTATTCACTTGACTTGAATAAACTTACTTCCCTCTCATCTGAGTTATTTTGAGGGCACACAGGTCCATGGATGGGTGTATTATAGTTGATCCTCAATCATATCAGCCAGAAAGTAGGACACACAATGAATGAAGCCGAGAAAAAGTCAAGTTGAGCTGAATAATGCTATGGTTCTGTGTGTTATGTGCTGAGAGGATTGTTTGTGGAAGAAAAACAGCTTCGAAGAGGAAATTTTGGAGCCATAGGATGTTGGCACTGCTAATTAACTCCATAATTGCTTCAAATTATAACGAGAGAGCGGACTGCCCTCAGCTGCAGGAGAGTAGGGGGGGATGAGGTAGAGCTGACTAAGCTAGGTGGGAAGAAAACGCACCCAGGAAGGAAAGGTGTCATGATGGCAGGGTTGATTCCAGCGTTTGAAATCTATTCGAGGGGTCTGTACCCTCTGAATAGATTAAGGTTTATAACTGGGTGCCAACCAGGGCCTCCATCAAAGTTGAACCCTTACAAGACTCGGCATCCCGGCAAAAGACCCTAGATCTCGTCGATTTATTTAAATCTAGCGAATTTGTGTTACGGGAAGTCACCTTGCTTGTCAAGGTCTCCCAAGGTCATAAATACCAAACAGGTACAAACAAACTACCCAGGGGCCATGGGGGTCTTTTCTTGCATATCGCGCACGCGAGCGGGCAAGCATGAACAAACAAACTTTCTACGGGCCATGGGGCTCTTTTCTTGCATATGGCGCACGCGAGCGAACAAACCGGTGCAAACAACTGGTCTTTTCAAAACATGATATCGTCGTCTCTTTCTTAGCGCCAGCTCCAATGTTTATATACATAACTATGTAGTGCTATAGCTCTTGAACACTGTTTCCTTTGTTACGAAAAAAAAGTCACATTGTATTGGTGCAAAGCAGCGTATTTGTCAGCAAGCAAGGTGCCTGCTGCCGCTGCTAAGTGTCAGCCTCTAGTCACCCAGTGAATTGTAAATCATGTAAATTACGGTCTGGGTCGGATTTCCCACAGAGGTGGGAAATCACTTCTTTACCCTGACGCTCTTTCCTGCCTCTCGTTTCCAACATCTCCGACGCACGCTCACGTCGCCAGCCCACCAACGCGTCGTTTGAACCTTCGGACACTGTGCAAATTAACCCGTCGCAGGCTCTATGCCTCAAGAAGTGTGAGGGAATGATGGAGACCCACAGGCACAAGAGCAACACATGCACTAGTGGCTTCGTGCACTAGGGGTCAAAATGACGCGTCGACGGACGTGTCTGGGGTACTCTAGAACATGAGGGAAGACCCGAGAAGCCGGAGATCCGCTAGGTGAGTCTCGTATTTCGTTTAGAACACGCTCACTGCTGACAATACATGCTATCCCATCTGCAGACTAGGAACATTGTTTCCCCATGTCACGGCATCACTACACACCCATCGTCTATGCCTTGCCCAACGAGCACCGGACCTCCCCAGCTACGCCCTTACATCAAACCGAGCGCGGTCCATCACATATCAGTGTGGTGCGCCAAGCGGCATAAAACGAACGACGAACGACGCGGCACATCAAACAAACGACACGGCGCATAATACAAACGACGTGGCGCCGTTTCTCGCTTTTTATGGATGCCGTCGACATCGCCTGTGGAGCAGTGATTTTGTGTGGGTATTTTAAGGCCAGAGGGGTGTAGGATGTGGAGGAGGACTTTATATTATTGTATCTACCTTGATCTTATGTTATTGTATCTACTTCTACTTTGTCCTACATACGCCAATAATAGAGAAAAATGGGAGGAATACAAGAAAATGGGTAGCTGAACAGATGTGATATCAGAGAGGGTACCCTGAGCTTGGCAGACCCTGTAAATTGATCGCAGGGACACGCCAGCTCAGAGGAAAGCAGGGGAAGGCACTGTAAATCGAACTGGTTGGCATCATGGGGCTGTAAATCCTGTAAATTGAGCTCAATTTACGGTAAATTTGTCGTAGATAAGTTCTTATCCCTAGTTATCCCTACTTTTCCAACTTATCTGCAGTCTCTTACAGCAAACCACTCCCTCCATCTCCTCTAGAAGCACCAGTTTTTCAATTTTCATACATCTTTAGACTATCTACACACATTCTGAAAGTTTCAGAAAATTCCTACAGGTTCAACGGCTCTCAGCCCCTCAACAAGAAGGAGCATCTAAGCCAGTTTCAAGTGAGCCCCAAATATTTACACAGGGAGCGGCGCAGCCGAGAAAAAAAATGCATTTTCGTATGTAAAACATGTAAATGATAAAACACGAACGCAACTTTCGGGAGGGGACACGCGCCGCGGTCAAAGCGGCGAGGGAAGACGAGAAGGCGAAGGAGAAGACACGACGCGCCAGGATCACGTGGTCACGTGTACCTTCCCAAAGCGGTAGGGCTCCCGGCGATCGCCGGTAAATTCGTCGACATAAGTAATACGAACAAACAAGATCGCTATGGATCCGGGTTCGATTCCAGCTCAAGCCCGCATTGATGCATGATGCCTAGGAAGCTTGAAGCCCATGCCTTTTTGGAGTACCACCGGTCCACCGTCAGAAAGTCGAAAATTCGATACACTCCCTTCTCTCCACAAAACACCAAACGGCGCCCCACATTACTTATACCCCAATTTCCCTGCCTACCGCCGTCATCCACGATCAGCTTTCCACTGGAGTAAGCTGGGCACCATTCTTTGTTTTAAAAGAGGGGAAAATACTGTGAAGAATGCTGACGTTTCTGCGACTCTACGTATCTAAGCCAGACTATGCCGCCTACCTGAGCACAGGACATTGCGACGCTTTGGGCCTAAAAAATCCGCTACACTACGCAAAGATGGGGGGTAAAGGGCTGTTCAACAATTGCAAAGCTCAGTCCTCAATTCGAACGAGGCTTTGAACAGCTCATTCACCCTGTCGCAATAGCAGCCACATGGTGTGTACCGTGCACGCGATAACCACTAGCTGTGAGAAGTGTGTTTTAAATTTGGCCCTAATCAATATTCCCAGAAGCTGAGCGCTGCCACTACTAGCAGAGCTCTTGCCAATAAGGCTCCAAGATCGTACGCAGTTGAAGAGGATTCGCCCAGGAAATCAGTTATTTGTTGAGCGACAGTCTGGAACCCTGTGACAGTTGCGAGCAGTAGTGATAAGCGACCATAACCTAGGTCTCCATTAGAAGAACAAAATTACCGTGTGAAAGGGTTTCGCCATGTTAAAAAATGGAGAGCAAAGTAGTTGAATATATGAGAGATGAACGAGCATCAACAGACAGCAGGAATTCTCGGTAAATCAGGGGAACCTCCCTCATTTTCTCTTATGGGTAGAGCGATGTCGAAATTGACCCTAAATCCAAGAAAGTGAGGTCTAAACACCTGCAAAAATAAACATGGAAAAGAGTGAGGGTCTAGCGACCTCACGAAGTTATGAAGGTACTGACTGACAAGCCACTTTATTGCCAATGCCACAGAGGATCCATCTGACCCCTATATCCGATTGACATTATCCCTCTCCTCCGCTGGCAGTTTCAATCTGCTTTGAAAAGAATCTGGGTTGGTCATCGGTTACACCTGCAGAAAAATTCTGCTCTAATCGACTGGTGGCGGTAAGGTGTTGCCCATTGAATTACTACTTGGTGGTCAACTCACCCCTCGATAGACGCATTTACAAGCGGCCTGCGATGAGAGGAAGTTACGTAGGATCTTGCAATACGGTGAGAGCGAGGCGGGGAACAGGGATGGAGAGCACACCTACTTCTGAGTCCCAATGCCGCCGCCTTACAAAGAACGGCCCCCCAGCGATAGCTACGTTACGGGCGGGCAAGCACTGCCTTCCCAGCTACAAAAAAAGGCGAGTTCAAAAATGGCAGCTGTGGAAATGGGCATCAGACTGGGCTGGAGAGGGTGCGGAGGAGGAAAAACGCGGGGAGGTAATATTGTGTTGCATGGTTATGAGGTTTGAGAAAAGATTAAAAAGTACTTACTTACAGTGCTTCAATAACGGCGTCCGGAAACGACTCAACGACGGACGAAACTCTTCACATTCAGCACACTCTCAATCGAACGTCTGATTACTGTTGGTAAGTTCAAACTACGAAACGAGTAATTCAGACTCACCACGCCCGTTCGTGCCCCAATCCCACGAAGCTTTCGCAAAAGTACATACGCATGAGTTTGTCCGTCCAAGGCTTGCAGGATGGTCGGTGAGGATTGTCCTCTCCTTTGCGGAACCTTGGTTGAGCGACAGAATGGATGTGCTTCGTTCCAGCTAGTGAGTAGAAAACTGCAAACGTCGTGGTGTTGTATGGTGAATGAGGCCTGCTGTGCTACGCGTGATAACACATTGTATCACTTCGTTTGTAGGAACAAGCGTTCTCGTTCGCAAAGGGAAGCTTGGTTCTTCTTCGGTGTCTTGAAGGACTTTGGAAAGTCTTCGCTTTGGCAAGAGTCTTTAATGCAGGTAATAACTACGGAGAAGGCGTCAGGAGCGGCAGCGCCAGCAGAACAGCGGTTGGGATACACACCCGCACATCTTGCTTCGATAAGTTGCTACCCCGACCGACTTGGTCACCACCCTGCATCCCTTCTATTATGGGTTCAACGAGCCTAGACGGACCAGGGAGCGAACGACAGCTTCTCCAGTGAAGGGCGAGGGAGCAGCGCAGTCTGGGCCATGAAGTCTCGAGAGACTTGTAGGGGTTGTCATCACACGAAGGAGTGTTTAGAGGCCTTGATTGGACACAAGCGATTGCCTGTGCTATCTGGTTGTGGGTAAAGGCAAAAGCACGGTCAGCGTGATCTTAGGGGCAGCATTAACATACCTTCATCAACCCCCAACATCCTCAACTAGTAGCCAGCTCATTATCTACCCGCCTTCGGAAACACTCATCTTGAAAAGTGGTTCGCCACATGAATAGCCGCGGCGACTGGTGGTCCCTTCCCTCATAACCGCAATGGTCTGGCAAAGAAATTAACATCCTAGTATCCACATACGGTCGTCTATTGATGAAATGCGTACCGTACGGGTTTTCAAGAGGTGTCTAAGCATTGGGTTGGTGCGCGTCGCGAGAATCACGAAAGGTAGGACAGAGGCGAGCAGGGAACAGAAAGGAGATGAGAAGACATCGTGCACAGATAACCGGCTCGATGAGCTGACAACGACTCTAACGTGAAGAGGGAAAATACAGTGCCATTCTGGGATTTGTAATCACGTGCGCAACTTTATGGCTGCCTACAAAGTTACTTAAAGAAAGTTGCTAACTATTCGACTCGGAACGAGTTATGCCTTTGAAATAATTTATCACGCACTCGATAAACAGTGGGCTAGAGCAAGGCTAGAGCTATCCCAATCAACTGTGTTGTTATGCATTTACATCTACTTAATTAAGTAGAGTTATTTTCGTAAGCTCGTAACGACGAGCTCTTCGAGTCGGTCCTCGGATAACTTAGTTCTCCCAGACTTTCGGTATACAAAGGTGCCACAGGCGTCATTTCTCAAAATAAAAGAATAATGACAACTCCGCTATTCTGTAGTAGAAAGCCGCCTGTGAAGGGGAGGGGACGGATAGCAGTAAAAAGATAATCGAGTGAATAGTCAATTATCGCTCAGTCCCCGATTCGAACGAGGCTTGACTTGCGTACCACTTTGACGCGCTGTGACGGCGTGGACGATGTCCGCGACAACCACTACGCTACTGAGCTATGTGAAACTAGTAATACTGTCAGTTCTTATTCATTTATTTTTGCCGTTCTCTGACTCAGAATGATACCTCCTAAACAAGTATGCCTACTAATCCTCACTCTTTTTGTTATTTCAAGTACTCATCCCGCTACAATTACACCAATATAAAAAAATTTAGCAGGCATTTCGTTATCGTTAAATGCTAGGTCCTCGATTCGAAGGATACTTTAACGTTGAGTGCGTGTCATCAAGGAACCCCTAATATTCAATTAATATTGTACGCCTTCGTGAGCTATAATTACTACGCTACCGATCTGTGTGCAGCAAGCAATAATATCGTTCTTATTAACCCATTTTTGTTTTTCTCCAGTAAATGATCCTCCGTGACAATCGCAGGAGCAGTCCGCCAGATATACGCCAGGCAACCTCGCTCCCTTCCACACAAGAATCACGGCTCAACAACCCGTAGAGGATAGCTTGAACAATTTTTGGCGGGCTGGATTTTGTAAGTAAAGCCTAACGATCTTGTGAGGTAATACAAATAATCTTTTGCCGTTCCATAAAATTCCGGTCTGTAAAGCTCACCTGCACGCTTTACCTTCAACGCGGCATTACCCGAACAAAGAGACCTTGCTCAGAATTTCATTCCTTATCATGTACACGTTTTATTGACCTGTTTCAATTTTACATTGCTTCCGAAAGAAAGAAACTTTTCTTCGGCTTTCCTTTCAATTCTACTCCTTGGTCTTGCCTTGGTCGGACTTTTATCATGATATAACAAAGGACTGATTGGGATATCTTGAGAGTGCGCGACACTTTTCAAACAAAGATTTCCTTTCTTTCGGAAGCAATGTAAAATTGGAACGGGTCAATAAAACACGGAAAAAAATGATACATGTGTCTGAGAAAGAAATCTTTGTGAGTCGGATAATATTGTGCGGAAGGTACGATGTGCAAAACCTGATCAACTATCCTCCGAACGTCACAAACCAAAGCAGTCAGATTTTTTGCGAGCCTTCCCTTTTTGTGAAAAGCAAAAAAGAGATCACAAAGAGGAGTAAGTAATACAGAGTAATACCCCAAACAACCGTTAGCCTTTACTTACACGTCTTGGACCCTGCCCTGTCACACTTGCCGACTAGAACACCTTTCATTATCCCTTTATACAATTAATGGAGTTTTCCAATCGTCGACCTTTCAAAGACGAAAGTTGTACACTTTTATAAAGGTCCCACCCGAAGTGGCCCATCTTTACCTCATCCCACCACCATTGCATCTGGGTGCGCCACTCCTACAACAATTTCTACTAAAGCATTACGCTGGTGAGTGGCATCTCTGATGACGGCTCATGTATCCACTTTGTAGTAATAGGACCATCTAGACATCTCGGAACTATGAACTCCCCATTCTCCCATTTCCTCCGAACCAACTATGCGCTGTCCGACACCGACTTACAACACCCAATTCGCCACCTACCACTAGAGATACTGCGGGAAATATTTCAGTGGTGCCCAGAATTGTCTATTCGCCTCACTCACGTCTGCAGCCTCTGGAGGTCGATACTCCTGTCTGATCCTCTTCAGTGGTCCACGGTCCACGTCAATTCGGTAGCTGAAAAACCCTTACGTCGCCTCGTTCAGCTATTTTCAGAACGCTCACGGGGCATTCCACTCAAGTTGTCCGTATGCCTCAATGAAGATAAGGCCACTCGGAGGTTGAAAGTCCCGGATACCGCTGAAGGTTGTCGGATCCTTCGAGTTACAGGGTTCCCACAGGCTGTCATGGGTCTCGATGTCGAAGCACCATCGATCTTGGAGGACTTGTCTATCGACTGTTCCCAGTTTCCCGCTTCTCATTCCACCAATCCTCTTCGCCGCCGCGCTTCTTATCACCCCGCTTCTTATCACCACCTGATTGCGTTGTACGAGCCAGATACTAGGCCTGAGCCGACGCCAGCTTGTGGGCTCTTCGAAGCTGTTAACCTCCGAAGATTATGTCTTCGCATTCCGTTTGTCAATCTGATCTTTCCCCGTCATCCCAGATTGAGTTGGCCATATTTAACGGAGTTGACCTTAGACGGACTGGGGTGTGCGGCGAAGGCTTATGCGACATTGAATGTTGCAATTGCAGCTCGCATTCTGAGTGGCTGTTCGCAGCTCGTGAGATGCACCTTGTGGATCGCATCATCCATAGACAAATCCGGTCTCGGGGATGTTTCCTCGGCGCCTGATATATCTCTTCCGTGTTTGAAGTATCTTTTCACATACGACAGGGTTGGCGAAATCCGACACCTGTTTCGACTTCTTCAATTACCCGCTCTTCAAGAGATCGAATTTCACCCTGAAATACAGGCGAGCCAGCTGGAAAGGACACCCCTCTTGTTGTTACTCAGAAAGTGGGGTCAAAATATCGAAAAACTTACGGTTGACCCGAGTCATTTCGTCAAGTACGATCTTTGGCAATGCCTCCGCCTCATTCCTTCCGTCACCCATCTCACAATCACGCACGACGTTCTTTCATCCGCAAATTACAGGGGTATGCGGCAGACACCTGTCATTTTCGACGACATCGACATTCGGAAATTGATACCCCCTTCCACGAACCCCTCGGCCCTCTGTCCTAAATTGAAGAAGTTCCATTGTTTGCACCATGACGTTACGGATGACATTCTTTCAAAATTTTACGAGACAAGATGCGAGGGTGTTGCTGGGGTGAGCTGTTGGGTGCGAGAAGGTCTGAGCATGTGTTTTGAGCGCACGTGATGTTAGTATTTACTTATGTATACCCAAATTGGATTTGATTGCTTGTTGCCTTGATTCTCACATCATCTCGGACTCTCACCACGGAACCTCGCGGAGTCACCGCACCTAACCCTGTAGGTCACAACCGATAACTATTTTGCTTGAGCACTGAGAGATCCATGATGACGCAAGGTTCAACTTTATCATGGCACCTATGTCCCCTTTCGCTCCCTTCTTCCACACAAACTATGTGCCATCGGATGCTGAACTTGGAGAGATAAACTTGATTGTCACTGAAGCAGAGTCCAAGCTTTCGAAACTGGTCGAGGAGATTGCTAAGCAATCCTCCAAGAGTTTCTTCGAGAAGCGGGACGCGCTCCAGGAATTTATCAATTCGCATCGCGCCCTTACATCTCCCATCCGCCGCCTACCATTTGACATAATCCGGAACATATTCTTGTTATGCCGTCCCATAGAGACCGATCGAATCATGAAGGCAACGGACGCCCCAGTACTTATCACGCACGTGTGCAGTCATTGGAGATCCGTTGCGTTGACAGTTCCTCATCTTTGGACGACGATATACATCGATAAACCCAAGGAAAAATACTCATACCAGCTCGCATGGAAGTTCTTGGAACGTTCAAGGGACCTGCCCTTAACCTTCACGATGCGTTTGGAGCAGAAAATCAGCCCAAGTGATCAGGATTTTCTTAGTCTATTATCGCATTCTGCGCATCGCTGGAGGATGCTCCATATAACGGGCCCGAAATTGGCTATTATCCCCTTTCCCGTTGATGTTTCCCCAATTCTAGACGCGCTGTCTTTCGATTGCTCTGAATATCCTGCCTACTGGCTACAAGCTGAGGAGGAGAGCGATTTCTTCAAATCCAATCTATTCAAAGCGAATAACGTTCAGCACCTTTTTCTTCGAATCTCATTCATCGGGTTCACCAGTGGAAGCTTTCCCTCATTTTTTCCACACTTAACCGACCTAGTCCTCGATGGGACAACCCGTGCTCCGGGGAAACATCTCTATTTATCAGTTTCCAAAGCATTTCTTATTCTTTCGCGCTGTCCGCGGCTTATCCGCTGCTCGTTATGGATCGCAACTTCAACCTTCAAAAGCGATGGGTTTGCCGCACATGTAATGTCATCTCAGCCTATATCCCTTCCTTTGTTGGAGTATCTCTTCGTCTTCGACGCGTTCGCAGAAGCCAAAGGTTTATTTCAGCTTCTTGAATTGCCTGCTCTGCGAAGAGTGGAATTTCACTCAGCAACGCAAGCTACACACCTCGAGCGATCCCCACTCTTGTATCTAATCAAGCATTGGGGTCAACGTGTAGAGGAGCTGGTCGTCGATCCAGCCTATTTTGCCAAATACGATCTCTGGCAGTGCTTCCGCCTACTGCCATCCCTCAGGCACCTCACGATCAACCACAACATCGTTCCTTATACCAACTTCCAAGAGGATGACTGGTTGAGATCGGCCCCTGCCAATTGTTTTGATGACGCAGACATCAAGATATTAACCCCGTCTGCGACTACGCCTGTCATCTGTCCAAAGCTACAGGTGTTCTCTTGTTCCCATCATCGCATTACAAGACCTGCGCTGAAGAATTTCATTGCCGCTAGACGCGCAATGCCAGGTGTGGAGCCATTGTGGAAAGTTGTTATATCGCCGCCCCCGGGTCCCCAAGAATTACTCCCACCATTGTAGTGATGCAGAGGAATTAAATTGATCATACAAATTAGTATTATTTGGATGGAAAAGAATGAGTAGAATGGCGATCAAGGGACGGTAGGAACAATCGTCACCGAGGTCGCTGTGGCCGGCAATGCCTTGTAAATGGGGCACAATTCCTTCCAAGAATCTAGCGGGCAAAGGTAAGCGACTTTTCGGCAACTCCGAAAATTGCCATACCTGGAGTATTTTGAGCACCAGCAATGGGGGTATCTTCTGCAAAGACGACGGCGAGGCCGCTGAAAAAGTGTCAGGATCTACCGTAACGAGATTCTCGATTCCTTACAGCTCTAGATGCCACTCGATGTGACTGGAGAAAAGATACTGAGTATCAAGCCGGCAAGAAAGATCACGGAAATATCATACCAGTGCATGATCCATGGCCCCGCGTTGTTGGTTGTGAAGCGAATAGTTACGTTGCTTCCAGCGGCACCAAGGCTCACAACGTCTCTTCTAACGGGATTGACATAGTTGTAGCTAGCGTCGGCTCCAGCGCTTCTGACAACACTAAAGGGATGCTGCGAGGAGCGCACGGTTAGCAATGGGGAATGATGGATAAAAAATTATTTACTCCATGAAGATGAAATGGATGCTGTGACAGGATCAGGGAGTTTTCGGCAAATGCGACAAGCGGTGCTCACTGGACCGCCTACAACGCCAGCCGGAATGGAGACCTCGATGACTTTATTTGGTGGAAGAGTATAGATTGATCCTGCGGGAAGAATATCTTGAGCATTCCGAGCTCCGCTAAGAAGCTGTAACAAGATCGGGATTGAAGGGGGTTCGAACGACGCTCCGTTGATAGAGAATCTAGCGTTGGTGCGGTTGAAGCTTAACGCGAGGTTGATGCTGACGTCGGCTTCTCCAAGAGTAGGGGGACCCGGAGCTGCGGGATCTTCGAGAGGGACAAGTTGTGACTCATCAAGGAGCGTCGGATCCGTTTGTTGTGATGTTGTAGGATCTGCCTCTGTAGCACCCGCATACCGAAGGATCGCAGAATTGATACCATTCGTAAATCCACGAGCAAGACCATTCAACCCGTTATTGGGGAGCGCACGAACCCAGTAGTTATCCACAGGTTGCGTAGCATTTAGGATGAACGAGTAACGTTGGCCTATGAAACATGTTTATGCGGCAAATGGCAATGACCAGTGATTTACATACCAGTGAAAATTTGAATTTGATCGACGGTGTAGGGCAGAGTGTTCACCCCATCGACCTCAATAACTGTAAGTTGGTGGCCGTCAATGGAAAAGATATAGTTAGGATCGCAAGAAAGCGAAACCAGTCGGAATCGATAGTTCTTCCCGTGCTCCACGCGGAGTACCTCGAGATCTACCAGAGGACCTCCGACAGAACGGCCCTTGCCGTTAATTAAGGTACTATCAGCAGAGGGAACACCAACGGCTGAAGGGGCGGGGGTATGGTACCTTTTGAATCCTTGAATCATTGTCATTCGTAGAGAGGTATTTAATTGCGTACCATTCGCCGAGAGTGATAACAGTGGACTCTGCATGTTCATCAGTTAAATGGCAGTTTTTTTCAATATCCGCGTTACGAACCGTCATCCACTGTCAAAAGATACGTTTAACTTGACCCCGCATACCAGTTAAAGTGGATGACTGACCATCATAGAGATGTTTGTAAGGATCATTTGGGTCGTAAACAACCAGCGGGCCTCTCAGACCGTCACAATATTGGGTTCCTAGATTGGATGGAATCGCTAAGAATAGTGAATAAACAGCGAAAAGTGGGAAATACCGAAGTGTGAATGGTACCAGAAGGTGCCCGCTTGATCCGGAACAGAGAACGTGTATAGGAACGAGTGATCTGGGGAAATAGGACACTGGTTAACGCCGACGGGACCGTCGGCCCAAGACGATCCATGTTGGAGTATTCCGTGCCAGTGCTGCGATATAAAATGAATGAGTCAGTGATAAAGACAGGATTAGTCTTACGATGCTTGTACTCCGCAACATCGTCGCATCCGTCAAGGAATTGACGACGTTGAGGTTGAAGGTGTCACCCTACCCAACACGCGCTATCAGTGCCTGTCATCGCGGTGAACCCGAGGAGCTACCTTATTGCCTATGATCAACGGCGACGGGTATACTCCATTAACAAGAGCGGCTCTACCGCGTTATGAGGAAAAAGTATCTTGGAGGGTACAAATTCTACTCACGAACGCTGGAACCCATCGGGGGCAATGACCTGATTTGCGACATTCAGAATCGCAGCCGGGCCGACGGCTGCTTGAGCTAAAGAGACAAGGCAGTCGAGTGCGAAAAGGAGTGTCAAAATCATGATGGGAGACTGGGGTTCGATGCGAAAATGAGAGCCATTTTATAGGAAAAGAACGAGCCAATAACTTACTATTGAAGTCCAGGTCTAGACGCCGACGTTTAAGTTGTTTACTTGTTCGCGTGGCAATAAGCTTGGTATTCGGTGTAAGAATCTCTTCTTGACGAGGCAATTCGGCCGTGTAGCTTTGGACGCAGCTAACTTATCGGAGGTCGTCCGTTGAGGTCTTTCACCTACGATTTTGGCGTTGAGTGAGGGCGGTCGGTGAGTTCTGACCCGGGCTGACTCGTCGAAAGAGAATTTGGTGTGGCTGACTGAAAAGCGTTTGCCAAGAACTACACTCGGCACAGCAACTCATTACGATGGAACGATTCAACTCTGTAGGCGTGATACAAATCAGTAGACCGACTGGTGGTGGTAGCGTATGATTACAACCTCTGATTCAAATTTATGTGGATGAACCTCACCGTGAGTGACAAGCATCGGGATTTGGCAGAAATACCAAGCCGTTTCGTCGCCGCTTTTGTATTCATCGCGAAGCACCCATTCAAGACTGCGAGTTCCCTCGTTTCAGATACATCACGATATTCGTCGAGGGAGATCCGGTGTTGGATTAACGCCTAAATCTAAGGAGGCATTTTGTGAGCTGTGAACGGATCTTTTACACCATATGTAGCTCACCACGTGCTAATAGATACCGCTCCGAGTCGAGGACGAGATTGATAAATCACCTCCGCGAACTGCGCAGCGGAGGTAAAATAGATGGCAGCACGGGTGAAGCCGTGTTTTTGCTTTTTACGGCGCAACCTCGACAAAGGCATCGGGAAGTCCTTTCGCGACTGTTCGGAAGGGTTGTGCTCATGATATGGTAAATGACAATGTGACTGCAAAGGCGCAGTCCACGGATGGGGATTGGGGCGGTGAATCATTGTGCCAAATCAAGCTGGTTCTTCGACACTAGAGCGGTAGAACTTCGTGCAATATGACCCCATAGGATCTTCAAATGGACAGGTATGTGCTGCGGTGAGCAGTAGTGCGCGTGGTGGATAGATCCTCCAAGTTTCTTGGTTGGCATGATGCCACATCAATGGATTTCGGATTGGGCTCGGCGCTCGGAGTGAGGCGGGAGGAAGCCTTTGAGAAATAGCCACAAACAAAGGAACTTCCCTTCGGCAAGGAGAATTCAGATTGTGTCAAATCCTGGCCGTGGTTACTTAGAGCCAAGCTTTATAGAAAAAGTAATTTATGTAGCCTATACGACGAAGAAAAATAAATATTGAGACCCGTAGGTCTACCACTCCGGGAAAGCGTGTCATCCTTGTGCAGGGGCCATGCTAATCTTCTCTGTATCGTTCCAATTTTTTCGTATGTCACCCCGAAGGGGACAGGATGCAGTGGAATTTTAGGGTGCGCCTAAACACGATTTGGAGTTTTGTTCGGTCTGCGTGTTCGAATCACGTGGCCTGACTTTAGGCTGCATCAGGAATCGTGAGCGCTTCATTTCGAAAACGTTGGAGAGTCGTTGGTTAGTGTTCAATAAGCGCATTCAAAAGAAATTTCGGACTGGTCTACAATCATGCAGTTGGCTGTCATCCTTGCTTTGGAGTTCTTAAAGCAATCAAATTTATTTCAACACTGAGTGCGCTCGATGAGGGCAAGTACAAGTAAACAGATACAGAATGAAGACTAGCTAGCTACTAATCCTCCTCCTCCCCACTCTCCGACTCCGGTTGACCAACCCAAAGAACCAAATTCGATCCATTCCTCAAACCAGCTTGCATCACCGTGTCCGAATTGTTAAGGGCGTCATCGTCATCGTTACACAAATACCCACTAACGCAACGCAGATACATGTACGTCAGAATCACCATCCACACGCACGAAGCTCACTGACCTATGAAAGTCCACCATGAAATACTTGCACGCGGTTAAAAGGACCTTTTGTACCGTATGCGATTTTTTCAGCCTGAAATCGAGGGAACGGCCGTCAGGCCCCTTGATGGAAATGCTGAACCGCTCGTTCGCCTGTTTGCCAACGTCGTTGGTGCCGATTTCTGAGCCTGAAAGGATGATCAGCGTGGTATTTTAGTAGGGGGAGGAAAAGAAGTACCTTTGGTGGAAGTAAAGACGTCGTTTTCGGTAGAAGATGTTGCCGGTGCGCGGGCTACGGTAAAAAAAAAGTCGTAATATAAGGTGTCACCAATCTTATCTCGAGTCAAACACTCACGCTTTTTGTGTTCCCATGTAGTACTACCATCTCCCGTCGTCGTCGTATTCAGCTTTTTCTCCAACTTGACTTCGTTAGTTGGGCTGCTCAAAATGAACCAAGATGGCGCGTCGGTTGCCTGACCGACCGTCGCACTGTCTTCCACAAGTTCGTCCGTCGCTGATTCGTCGTTGTCGCGTTCGCCGTGGGATACGTATTCCATGAGTGGAGTTTTACTGGGTCGTTCAAGAAGTAGACCGTGAAGCGATAGGGAAGGCGAAATGGTGAGCGCACTGCCACCGGCCACAGGCGTATGTTGCTCTTGGTTTGGTGGTGCAACAGCAGTTGGAATGGAAGGAGCCGGTGATGTTGTGGTGAGCGCACTGCGACCAGCCACAGGCGGAGTATGTTGCTCTTGGTTTGCAGGTAGAACAGCGGTCGAAATGGAGGGTGATGTGTCAGGTGCCGAGGGAACTGGTGTCGCGTGAGGGTTCGCCTCTCCTAGTTTTTTCCGCTTTAACGTGCCGCATCGCGTATGAAGAGGTTGTAAAGCACATACCGATTGGAGCCATAGTTCTATTTTCTGGAGCGGCCACAACAGTAATCTCGTCTAGAACACGCCACATATGCACCCAGGCACTCGCATCAACTTCAATGGACCTCCCTTGACAAACGTCGAGTGTGCACGTCTCTAATCTGATGAAGGTGGGGTCCTGCGCTAAATTGAAGTATCCCCGAACTAGATCAATCATATCCTAATACACCTCAGCATCAGGCCAGTGAGAATATCTATAGACGCGCGCGACGAACCTCAAAAGTCTCCGTCTTCAGCACAAATTTCCTCTTTCCCTCATACGATACGATCGCAATTGGAACGTCGCCATTAGATTTAGACAGTGGGTTCAGCGTAGACGAGAAATGCATGATGTGCGGGTGGCGACGATGAGCAAAAGGGAAACAGTGGGAAACGAAGGTCCATGTTCGAAGACGTGATGTTGTAGTGTCCCCGTGACCTCGTTGACATCTGTAGTAAGCAGGACCAAATATGGGACTTTTTCACTGGCAACCGCTCATGAGCTCAAGCTCAAGATTCAGCAAGAATTCCCCTGAAGACTGAAACTGTACCAATGGCGATATCTGAATCCAATTAACCTAAGCACAGGTTGTGCCCCCTTCGTTTCGTTTTTTTCTCTATGCTCGTGACGAATCATAATGGAGCGCCAAGTATGGCAATGCCTTACCGGATAAAGTCCAGTAACACTTTATTTTGCTGGGGTAATACGAGACTTCGTGTCGCAAGGAGAGTGAGTGACCTTGTTAAGACCACTCAGGCGGTCAATATGATTATCCCGCAGATACTTCATGGGACGTGTGGGACGACATACAGTAAGTCCGCAGGTGATGTCATTAACCACTGTAAAAACCGAGGTGTGTTCTAGGATGATCATAGTAACCTGGGAAGCTCAGACCAGCACCTATGAGTTCCGAGGGAGTCTGCGCGAAGAAACGATATGTCTCAAGTCCGAGGAGCTCAGTTTCCACTTGACGAGTAAGTGACTGGGCGTTAAACACTAGCTGTCATTTACTCCCTGAAAAATTGTTGATCAGGGTCATCTCTTCGAAGTTCGTATTCTGAGGTAACCACCTCGGACAGATTGCTATTCAATTCAAGGCGAGAAAAGCGGTCCCCGAGCTGACGATGGCTCAACTGGTTCCGCGGCTAGATTGACACAAAATGACAAGGTAAATTTAGCATATGGCTTTACGCGGAGGGGAGTCATTGATCATCTTTAGGTTTTAGTGGGTAACCTAAGCGAAGCTGATTCACGAAAAAGCATGACGGCCTCAATCATCACTGGCGCGACAGCCAGTCGAGACGGAATTCCACACCATGAGAGCGCTTTGATTTATTTGGTTTTCCAGCTCGGAAAGGTGAGAGAGTCATCCCGCTTTGTCGGAGATTGAGAGGTGATAATTAATCTCTGGATGGAGACGAATACTATCTCCTTGCGCAAAGATGGGCCGTATGCCGTCTTGGAGGTGGGATCCCTTGGTGATCCATTCACCCATGTCTGTCTTACATGCCGCACTGTCCATTTGGAGGTTTGGCGCACCATATAGGGCACGAGCAAGTCCCTGAGCCGTGCAACCTCTGCCGTGGACATCCAGCAATCACTGCATCTCCTAATCACGTCGCTGCCCATGGTCCATCTGACTCCCCGCGGATATGTTGTCTTTGCTGCCACCGTTCCTCAGATCTACTCTCCAGGTTGTGACACTCAACCACGGAGATCCCTTCAACGACATGTGTCGCCAGCGGCATATAAGACAAAGCTCCCTCCCTCATTCCAGCAATTCCCTCAACATTCAATCCTCGTAAACAACTAGCCTCTCAACCGCGATGCCTTCAATCATCTCTTCATCTTGCCTTAACCTCCCCACCTCTTCAACCGTGCTCAAAGCCGCGCCCCGTTTTTCTCTACACGCATTGAGCCCCCGTTCTTGGGCAGTGTCCTTTGGTAAGTAAACTGTCGCTTGCATCAAGAAAACAATCTAATGCGTCTACGACATTACCTTAGCACGCACGTCGATACTTGCGGTCCTCGACAACGCGATTACCATCGGGCACCTTACTATCTCCGATTCTGAAGGGACACACTATTACGGAACATACCAAAAGGGATGCAATGATGTGCAACTCAACGTCATCAATGATACGTTCTGGTTGAGGATCTTACTGTAAGTGGCATGTTACTTCTTAGAAACTTGAGTTGAGCTGACTCGGATACTTCTAGATCTGGTGATCTTGGCTGTAAGTTCTTCTGCCAAGCTGCCTGGCATGCACAGGTCATTAACGGACATTCGACCAACAGTCAGCGAAGCATATATGATTGGGGATGTCGAGGTCTCTAGCCTCAAGGGAGCTATGAACGTAGGTGGATTATGTTTATGATCTCCCAACAGATGCTAAAATCACTCAAATAGCTGTGGCTGGAGAACGAGTCTGGGATGGCCAACACACTTTCTTCAACCGTCGCAAAAGTATCCTCAGCGATGAGCGGGCTCTACAACAGCTTCCTCGGCCAGACACGCTCTCAAGCGCGTCTGAATGCTATCGCCAGCTACGACCAATCTAACGAATTATTCAAGGTGAGTCACTGATTCTTGCCTATCATCTTTGAACTCCAACTCAAGGACGTGACGTCATTAGGCATTCCTGAGCAAGGAGATGATGTACTCATGCGCTCTGTGGAGCGAAGCAGAAGGCGGTGTTCGAGGGGATCTCGAGGTGGGGCCGACACCTGGGGATCTAGAAGCGGCTCAGCGACGGAAAATCCACCATGTTCTTCGCGCAGCGCGTGTGAAAACTGGACACAGAATTCTTGAATTTGGCAGTGGATGGGGAGGTCTCGCCATTGAGGTATGTGCGCGATTAGCAATCTTTTCTCAATTCGTCTAAGTAGTCACTCAGGCTGCGCGTTCTTTCGGATGCGAAGTTGATACATTGACACTATCAAAAGAACAAAAATCCCTCGCAGAAGAACGCATCAAAGAGGCTGGTCTGGAGGGCCGAATCAGAGTCCACCTTCTTGATTACCGTGAAATTCCAGCCGAATTCGAAAAGGCGTTCGACGCCTTTGTCAGTGTCGAAATGCTTGAGGTGAGTTTCTTTCTCAAGCACAAGGGAAGTCGTCTGATAAACATTGTAGCATGTCGGAGCGAAACACTACAACACTTATTTCAAACTGGTAGACTTTGCTCTGAAATCAAAAGACGCTACGATCGTCGTCACCTCCTCCACCTTCCCAGAGTCAAGGTTTTCGAGTTATCAGTACGTTCGTTTGAAAAATTCCTCCCGAATTTTCTTAATTTTTACCACAGAGCTGAAGACTTCATGCGCAAATATATGTGGCCTAACTCTTGCCTGCCCAGCGCGACAGCCTTGATCACCGCTGCTCAAGCTGGATCACAAAGCCGATTCACGCTTGAGGGCGTCGAGAACCACGCAGCCCGTCAGTCTGTTTATTATATCGACACAATGTTCTATCCCGTCTCATACATATGTACTTCTCTTCAGACTATCCCCGCACGCTTCGAGAATGGGGAAGGCGTTTGGAAGCGAACTTGACGCAAGAGCTCATCATAAAAGACTACCCGGCTCTCCAAGATGTTCACGAGTACGCGGCGTTCAAGCGGAAGTGGGAATACCTTTTTGCATATGCCGGCGCTGGCTTCGCAAAGGGGTATATTACTTGCCATATGCTCACGTTTATTCGCCAAGTGGGTAGCATTCATCTCAGCGATTAAAACCCTTTTTGACATCCTCCTCTTCACTTAGAATGATACGCCTGTTCGCTGTGATTGATTTTGCGATTGCAAACGACCAAATGTGACTTTCAGTCTCTTACTTACCCTTATAATCAGTAGACAGCATTTACTACACATCATACCCCTAGACAGCATATCTATACGATACAATCAATTTTTTATTACCATGTTATGCCGTAGCCTGGAACAATGAGAAATGAAGCCACGACTAGACAAAAGAAAGAAAAACCACCCACCCGCCGAGCCTGGGATGTGGAATCGAAGCTCTCTTTATTACATGAATACAAAATTCTATGGATGTCCGTGCATGTTGCATGAGTTCCTGGACATTGTACAAAATTGCAGATTGTTATGCATTTTGGGGTTAAACGTTGAACATTAAACCTTAAGCTTTTGTTGTCCGTCGCTCAACTCTTTTTGGAGCATTCACGCAGTGGCAGTATACTCGAGTTTTCCATGCCCCTGTTCTTCGTGGAAATGTAAGCAAAATGAAGTTCTGTTTTAGAGTTCTCAGTCCCCGATTCGAACGAGGCTTTGCATTGAAGTGCCATGGGCATATAGAAATCTGCGTGCCACTTGCGGTCACTTGCGGACCACCCGTTCGCAGGTGACCGCAAGTGTCTCGCAGATAATCAAAAAGGATCGCAGGTATCGCAGTTGTCACGCAGATAGATAGTCTACTACAACATAGTACTTAGTAAATTTAAACTAAAGAAATGTAATCTTCACTTGAGAACTTGAAATGTGGCCACTGCTATGCGATACAAGTCTGGAATACAGTGTTCAATTTTCTACACAAGAGTTTTAGTTCTTATTTACTCATGCCTACTCGCAAGTTGACCGCAGGTGGCTCGCAAACATCCATTTTGTGCGCAGATTCTCGTAAGTGTGTCTCGCATTGGTCTCGCAGGTGTATCGCAAGTGATGCGCAAGTCGCACGCAAGTGTACGCAAGTCTCGCAATGGATACTAACTCTCGCAAGTGTATCTTAAATGTGTCGCAGATGTATCTCAAGTGTACCGCAAGCTGAACACAAGTATATCGCAGGTGGAATGCTGATTGGATGCAGGACATCTTGGTCATTTCATAGAGCAATATATGTCGCCAGTATAATTTATGAATCCCATGAATGAAATGGTTCCAAAATTAGTGAATGTGAGGGAAATGTCATTGAAATACATTGTAAATGTGAGGGAAATGACAGTGAAATACATTATGAATGTCCCAAGAATTTCCTTCAAATCCGCTGACACCGGTCTAATCAAGGAAATTGGGGGAAACACTGGAATCCAGGTTTTCTGGGGAAGTAGTCAGGAAATAACGAGAGATTTTCATCGATTTCCAAAGTTGGTTTTCCCTAATGTCCCTCGTTTGGTGTGGAATCAAGTTGGGATGGGAAGAAGAGAGCAAGTCTGAACGAGAGGTGAGACTCCATCACTCACCAATGGCAGACATTGGCTATTGAGTCCCGAAGTCTCTGGAAAAAAATCGACCACAATCACGTCCGATAAAGAAGGAAAATAATGGTAAGAAGCCGGTGGCTGACTAGTCATAGCCTCAGACACTGCGTTACTTGTACATTTCAGCATAAAAATGGTCTTAGTACAGACCTATAGGTACGAACCAACAAGTCAGAAAGAATCAGAGTGATCCAGATACGTTAAACTAGAAGGATAATTATGGTGCTCATTGAAGAAATCTCAAGAAATATGAAATCTCAGCAAGGTGCGCTGATGCTTGCAGATGCCCGCAGATACTCGGCTCACTAGGTCTAATGTGCACGCAACTGGATTGGTCTGCACGCAAGTGACCGCAGATACTTCTTTTCGGTTCGCAACTGGCACGCAACCTGTGTCCGCAGATGGCATGCAGATTTTCCTGTGCCCAAGTGCCATCCTTTAAAAGCACTTCACAAGCGAAATCCATAACGCTACCGAGCTATGCGATGTCGATAATGATATCAATTCTTATTGACTCATTTTTCTCGTTGCATGAAACCTTCCTCAATCATTACGCACAAGCATGTATTCTGCTACAATCACACACAATTTAAAAAAGAGAAGACAACTCAGGAGAATGCTCAGTCCTCGATTCGAACGAGGCTTTGCGTAGGGTGCGCGCATGCCGCCAGAGCACCTCTCTCAGCTCTGACCATGCAAGCAAGGCTACGCATGCGATAACCACTACGCTACCGAGCCGTGTAAAGCAACCAACAAATTTAATTGTAAACGCTCAAGATCAATTTCTTTACCACGCGCTACTACTTAATCATCTGGATTTCCAGAATGATAGCCAATATCGCAACGGTCATAGTATTCCGTTCATCTTAGAGTTAATCGTTAATCGTTGAGGATATGCTGAAACGTCGTTAAGAACGTTCGCGCAGTGGCAGTTCAAGTTTTCCGTGCTCCCTGTTCCTCTTGGAAATGTAGGCAAAATGAAGTCCTGAGGATGTCTCGTCCCAGGCTTTCCACGGCCGCAGGCTGTTATAAATAAAATGCCTTTGGCCCAGTTCCCTGATCGTCACCTCCTCAAGTTGCATTCTGAGCTGACACCAACTTGGGGCCTTTCCAAAATTATTAATGGATTTAACCTCCGAGGCCTATATATGTCGTCGCAAAATCTGTAGAAAGCCTACTTCGAAGAAATTTAAGGCGAGGCCGATGCTCTCAAGCCAACACCACACCTAAAAAGAGCAATCAAAGATGATGGACACACTCGGAATTGAACCAGGGACCGCCCACATGCCCTAACTTATCTTCTATACGCTCCACGGGCGTGATAACCAACTACACCATGTGCCCGCGGTGAGGGTTATCATGGGTTTACCTTGTGTAAAGCACCTCAGATGTGTGTTGTTTTTGAAGTCGGAACTTCAAAATTCTCAGAGTTACTTGTTCCGAGGACAGGTCAGCGAAAAATACTGGTGGTGCTTCCGCGTTTTTCAAAAAGCACTATTTGCTGATGAATTCCATTTGAAAACAAAACTGATTCACCAAGTGTATTCAAGACGGACTCACCTAATTTAGAGGGATTCGTTCAACAATGACCCCCGTAACATCCGCAAACCAAGCTCTGATCTTGCGACGAAGCCCAATCACCGGAGCTGAACTAACCTATCCCAATCCCAGTCAATTTTACAATGATTGAATCACAGATCAAAACACCGCCAAAGAAGTTTGGAATGCATTCCCAGTTCGGAGGGATAATCCGTCGATGGAGATAACGGCGGAGCTGTCAATGTAGAGTACTATTTCGCCCAGGCGTCACGATTGTCAAATCAAAGAGACATCACGCACCGTTCTCCTTCTCAACATCGTTCAACCTGACTCTGAACGCAAAACGCTCGTCCAGCGTCCTACAGCGGTGAAAGGAGCCTCTGCAGACAGAATATCCGCAATCGCTGTTTTTCTTCGAGAGTGGAGGGACTCGTTATAGGTGGTGAGCATTGCGTGGTGTTGGCAGTGGAAGGAAGGTGTTCGCCGACGGATTTTGGCCTGTTCATCTCCATCAGTTAAGTGTACCATAAATCTTAGTCATCCGACACTCACCTCCACATTAACCTCGAATCCAACTGCTGACACCTCTGCTCCTTCCGCCCGCATGTACAGTCGCGGACAATCAAACCCCGCTTATTTTTGTGCCCCCTTTTTGTGACCGCCAAACTGAGTCCAGAGCCTTGGTAGAGTGAAAATATACTAGCATTGAATATTAGAAGAGTATTCACACCGGCCATGAGGCGGTACGGGCAGTTTCAAGAATTTCAGCCCAAAATTTTGGCGCGCCCACCAAAAACTCGCTAAAAACATGGAAAAACATGCAATCGACTCTGTTTCGAGTGCTGATTACAGTCCAGTACATAGTTATAAAAAATATCCAATAGATATGACCAATCGAGATCCCCAATTTCATGGGAATTCACAGAAAATGACAACGGCATCATGAGATGGACTGTCTTGGAGGACAATAAGTGCCCGAGTTTCTAATCCTATTGAAATAATGACTCTTCATAACCCATTTTTTACCACTTCTCATGGCACTACTGGAGTTGGTGCAAATACTGATACCAAGAACATGCAAAAAAAAAACTTCAAAATGGCAAAAGAGAGTAATCAATGTCCTGGATGCTTGCCGGTTCACATTAGAGACGGCGATCGAGTGTGCCGGGTAATAATTAGATACCATATGGCGTATAGAAATTGTCCAAAATTTTGGCGCGACCAAAAATCACGTGTAAAAAACCCGGAAAATTCATTTTCTGACGTTTTCGAGCTCTAGGAGTCCGAATATGAAGTTAGTTTTGTGCCAAAATACTCAAGTCGTGAGTTATAAAACAAGCGGGGTTTGATTGTCCGCGACTGTACATCCATATGCCTAGTCTACTAAGCCGCCAACTCTGGAGGACCGGACAGGTAGAAGCTGAACCCGCCTAGGATGGGAGCTGTCGGGTTTATGCTTCCCTTGGGGTAATAAGCTTCCCACGCGACGTTGGGGTGGTATGTTGTAGGAAGGTGGAGAGGGCGAGTGAGGAGGAGCTAGGCTCGTGACCAGCCTGTATATGAGAACTTCGATATACAGGCTGGTATGTCTGAGTTTAAATCCCCGTACCGCGCGGCTCCCACGCCAGTTTCCATAAAAGGTTCGATGATTTTTGACCTCCCCTTAACAATCCGGTCCGGCCCACGCCAAATCTTCCCGGTCTACGATTTCCTTGCGTCCAACCGAAAATCGTCTTTCAGCTATGCACCCCAGAAGCACAGCCGATATATGTTTATATTAATCCTTGTGTTTTCTTTAACCTTGAATGTACATATTTCATGGCAAGAAAACGAGAACCTCCCAAAAATATAGGCTACTATCTACTCAAACAAGGAGGGAAAAGAAAGAACAGATAGCTAAGTGACAAAATGGATGAGTAACAGAAATCCAAGAAGTTGTCCGGTATGAATGAAACCACTCCAGATTTTACAAATGTGCCATTCATGAGAAAGTGCGTCAATTTCACGCAACGGAGACCGTGAATACAGTGGAAACGCGATGCGCGTCGTGCGACACGTGCTTATTGTTTAGGCACTGGACACATGACAAGATAATTTGTCTTGGAATACTCTAAAAATATCTTTTGGAAGTTCCTTATTTTTTCCCTGTTTTCTACCAAGAAATATAGACAATTCAAATTAACCCAATATCTTTCAAATAAGTTTCTATCTGTTTTTAACATGTTTTATAAGTATTTAATCTTCATTTATTGAAAACAATCTTTGTAGATGTATTACATGTTTCTTACTAGAAAACAGAAATAAAATAAGGAACTTTCAAAAGATATTTTTAGAGTATTTCAGTGCAGATTATCTTGTCATGTGTCCAGTGAGGGGAGGTCAGAAATCATCGAACCTTTTATGGAAACAGGCGTGGGAGCCGCGCGGTACGTGGATTTAAACTCAGATTTACCGGTCTGGATATCGCAGGTACTTCTCATATACAGAACGGTCACCGGTCTACTTGATGCGGACACAACCAGTGAACCACTGTGCAACTGAGTCATGATACGCATATCTTGTAGACGTTCTAGCCGCGCAAAAGTGGACGCAACAAGTAAGGTTATCTCTTCTATTACGTTTACATTGGTTGCAATTATATAGTGAAGTTTTGAATGAGGTCAGTGGAATGAGAACCGCTTGGGGACTCTACCCAGCAGTGGCCTGTACTTATTTATCATCTGGTCACCCCCTACTTCTTAGGTCTCTAGAACGATAACCAGTACCGCAGCGGTCCATTCATTCAAACGTTAAACATTAAACAGTGGCATTAAGCTTTTCTGTCCCTTTAAAACTTCGTCGCTCAACTGTTTTTGGAGCATTCATGCAGTGGTGACCAGATTATGAATAACGACACAACACACAACACGCTCACCTCGGGTGTTCACAGCTTTGGAGAGGCCACAGGCTGGCATTAGCTCAGTGATCAGGCCTTTCGCAAAGCGACTTGAGGAGGTAACGATAAGGAAGAGGGAATTGGCAAAAAACAAGACGAGGGCACTTGAACTTCGTGGTTCTCAACAGCTAGAACGCCCGTAAATACTTAGACATCCTCAGACAGGTCAGGACTTCATTTTTTTTAATACAATTCCAAGCAAATTCCAAGAAGAACATCACTGCGTGAACGTTCTCACCGAAGCTTCAACGTTTCAAACGAAGTTTCAAAGGGACTACAAATGCTAAATGATCAACGATTGACCAAGATCAACGGAGTACTATCACCGCCGAGATGTTGGCTATCATTCTGGAGATCCAGGCAAGTAAGTACTAGCGCGCGTTAAAAAAATTGCAATTGATCTTGAGCCTTTAGATCTAAATTTGGTAGTTGCTTTGCACGGCTCGGTAGCGTAGTGGTTATCGCATGCGATCGGTGTGGTGCCATCAATGCACCCGACGAGGGCGCATTGATGGCACAAGAACTCACTGCTCGTCAAGCCTCGTTCGAATCGAGGACTGAGCACTTACCACATTATGTCTTTTTGAGAAAATCGTGTGCGATTGTTACCGTGCTCTTTAGAGAATTAGGTGTACGAGGATTATTTTATAGAATCAGAAAAGAAGGTCAATAAGAATTGATATTATTACCAACTTTGCGTTGCTCGGTAGCGTAGTGGTGGTCGCATGCGTAGCTTTGCTTGCGTGGTGCTCTGGTGCCAGTATGCACGCACCTTATGTCAAAGCCTCGTTCGAATTGAGGACTGAGTTGTACTACATCTGGCTGAGTTCTTTTTTATAAAATTGTGTACATAGCAAAACACATAGGTGATATAACAGAAAAAAAGTGAGGATTCCGAGGAAGGTTTCATAGAACGAGAAAAAGAAGTCAATAAAAATTGTTATTATTACTAACATCGCATAGCCCGGTAGCGTAGTGGTCATTGCTTGCGAAGTGAAATTTCAAAGCATGGCACTTCAATGCAAAGCCTCGTTCGAATCGGGGACTGAGATATAAAAAGTAACTCAAAATTCCTTTTTCTTACATTGTAAATTCAAGGGGAACAGGCGGGTGGAAAACTCGAGTATACTGCCCCCTACTTCTTGAACGATAACCAGTACCGCAGCGGTCCGTTAATTTGAACGTTGAACATTAAACAGCGGCATCAGCTTTTTCTGTCCCTTTGAAACTTCGTCGCTCATCTGTTTTTGGAGTATTCACGCAGTGGCAGTCTACTCGTGTTTTCCACCCGCCTGTTCCCCTTCAAATGTAAGAAAAATGAATCTTGGGTTATTTTTCATATCTCAGTCCCCAATTCGAACGAGGCTTTGCATTGAAGTGCCATACGTTAAAACCTCACTACGCAAGCGATAACCACTCCGCTACCGAGCTACACGAAGCCAGTAATAATATCAAATCTTATTGACTTATTTTTCTCGTTCTATGAAATCTTCCTCCATTATTACGTACATCTAATCCTCTTCAAGTTATATCAAGCATGCAAACGATCGCGCACAATTTCTCAAAAAAAATTGCGCCAACTAGTGGCCATGCAGAGCTCAGTCCTTGATTCGAACAAGGCTTTGACGTAATGTGCGTGCGACCCCTCTGATTGCAAGCAAAGCTACGCATGCGATAAACCACTACGCTTCCGAGCTGTGCGAAGTTAGTAATAACATCAATTCTCACTGAAAAAAAATTGAGAAAACTACCTGAAAGGCAATCACATAGCGCTCAGTCCTCGATTCGAACGAGGCTGCGGCGTCTAGTGCGGATGGTGCCATCACAGGATGATGACACACATCGTAGCACTACACGCAACGCGATAACCACTACGCTACCGAGCCGTGTAAAGCAAACAACAAATTTAGTTGTAAAGGCCCAAGATCAATTTCTTTACAGCGCACTACTACGTACTTACCAAGTACTTACTTGGATCTCCAGAGTGATAGCCAATACCGCAGGGGTCATAGTGTTCTGTTCAGCTTTTGGAATTGTAAAACGAAGTCCTGACGTTTCTGAGGATGTCTCGTCTCGGCTGTTATGAGCTTCGATGATATGTAATTTATGTAAAGTGCCTTGGTCTTGTTTTCCCCCAGTCCCCTCTTTCTGAACGTCACCTCCTTAAAAATGGCCTGAGCTATCTATCACCAGCTTGTGGCCTCTCCAAAGCTGATAACTTCCAAAGCCTATCGAGTATATTTCTTCGCAAGATCTGTAGAAACCCTAAAAACCTTTGACAAAAATCGCTGTGCTCTCAGGTAGACACCGCGCCTAAAATGAGCGCCCTTGGTGTCTTATCTACAAGCGTTGAAGTGTTTCCACGACCCAGTGCACAAGCCATAACACGTTTTGGACACACCCGGAATTGAACCGGGGACCGCCCGCATGCCGGATCTCCAGAATATCCCGAACTGTCCATGCTAAGCGGGCGTGATAACCAGCTACACCATGTGCCCGCGCTTATCTTTCGGTAGAGGCACCTCAGAGATGTGTTGGTTTTGGAGTCGTAGCGGATACAGAATTTTCAGTGATGCTCGTTCCCAGTGAAAAACGCAATCGTGATGTCTACGTCCAGCCTCAAGTTCAGCAAGTGTATATGGACCGTATCAAAGCACTCACTCATTCAACAATGACCCCCGTAACATCCGCAAACCAAGCTCTCTGATCTTTCAACGAGGCCCAATCGTCGGCATGACCTAACCAATCCCAATCCCAGTCAAAATTTTACAATGATTGAACGACAAACGAACGCACCGCCAAAGAAAGTCTGAAAATGCATTCCCATCATTTTTCCCTACTCAGAAGTCCGGAGGGATAATCCGTCGATGGATATAACGAGGGAGCCGTCGATGTAGAGTGTTATTTCGCCTAATGAAAGTAAGGCATCATCATCATCAAGCAAACAGACATCACGCACCGTTCTCCTCCCCAACATCATTCAACTTGACTCGAAACGCAACGCTCATCCACCGTCCTACAGCACGATCGAGGTGAAAAGAGCCTCTGCCAACGGAATATCCATAATCTCTGTTCTCCTTCGAAAGTGGGGGGACTCGTGATAGCTGGTGTGCGTTGCGTGGTGTTGGTGGGATGTAGGCGTATAATTCACCAACGGATTTCGGCCTGTCCAGCTTCATCAGTAAAGTGTACCACACCGCCACATTAACCTCGAATCCAGATGATGACACCTCTGCTCTTCCCATCCGCCCGTACAATGTACATCCATACGCCAAGTCTCCTAAGCCGCCAACTCTGGAGGACCGGACAGGTAGAAGGTGAACCCGCCTAGGATGGGAGCTGTCGGGTTTATGCTTCCCTTGGGGTAATAAGCTTCCCACGCGACGTCGGGAGGTGGTGAGTTGGAGGAAGAGGGAGAGGGCGAGTGAGGAGAGGGAGGAATCGTGGTGTTGTGTGTTGTGATGGTGACGGTGTCCGCCGAGGGGTTGGTCATCCCGTGACCTCGTAGTTTACGCGACTGACTCCTGCGGAGTTGTTCACTACAGTGTTTTGCATGTGAGATTGCACTACAAATCCCACGAAAACTTGTTTGCATTTGTATTTCGTGACCTTAAGTAACCATTTTGGGTTGATTTTGGGTGTAGAACGCATGACATCAGCCACAAACCACAAGTACAAACAAGTTTTCGTGAGATTTTGAGTGCAATCTCACATGCAAAGCACTGTAAGTGTTACATCAAGCCAACATCAAGCATGCTAACGATCGCGCATAATTTCTTCAAAAAAAATTGAGCCAACTATTGCTAAAGTAGAGCTCAGTCCTCGATTCGAACGAGGCCTTGACGTAATGTGCGTGGATGCCACCCTCTCATCACGCAAGCAAAGCTACGCATGACGAAAATTCCGAGCTGTGTGAAGTTAGTAATAATATCAATTCTTATTGACTCAAGCACACTAACATTCACAGACAATTTTTCCAAAAGAAATTCAAATGGAGCAAACGTAATGCATAGAGCTCAGTCCTCGATTCGAACGAGGCTGTGGTGGGTCTAGTGCGGGCAAGGCCATCAGGATGGTGAGGCGCGCACCAGACCCTGCGATAACCACTACGCTACCGAGCCGTGTAAAGCAAACAACAAATTTAGTAGTAAACGCCCAAGATTAATTTCTTTACAGCGCGCTACTACGTACTTACTTGGATCTCCAGAGTGATAGCCTACTTATACCGCAGCGGTCATAGTGTTCTGTTCAGCTTTTCGAATTGTAGGCAAATGAAGTCGTGACGTTTCTGAGGATGTCTCGTCTCGGCTGTTATGAGCCTCGATAGTCCCCTCTTTCTTATCGATTGCTCCTCAAGCTGCATTGAGAAAGGCCTGATCGCTGAGCCAACGCCAGCTCGTGGCCTCTCCTAAGTTGTCAACACCCGAAGCCTATCAAGTATATGTCTTCACAACCTGTAGTAACCCTAAAAACCTTTGACAAAAACAATTCAAGGCGAGGCCGATCGCGATGCTCAGAAATTGAAACTATTTGTAAAACAATCACACATACATAGTGCTCAGTCCTCGATTCGAACGAGGCTTCATATCTAGTGCGAACGGTGCCATCACAGGATGATGGCACACTTATCACGATGAGGCCCGCACTAGACCCTTGCGATAACCACTACGCTACCAAGCCGTGTAAAGCAAACAACAAATGTAGTTGTAGATCACCGCGCGCTATTACTTAGAATGAAAGCCAATACCACAACGGTCATAGTACTCCATTCATCTTGGTTAATCATTTAATATCAAGCATTTGCAAATCGTTGTCCCTTTGGAACTTCGTTTGGAACGTTAAAACTTCCTTAGAACGCTCACGCAGTGGCAATCCATTTTTTTTTTTGCGGCATCTGTTCTTTTCTCAAATTGTGAGCAAAATGAAGTCCTGACGTTTTTGCGAATGTCTCGTCTCGGGTTTCCAGCCGTTATGAGCCTCGATGTTAGTGCCCTCGTCTTGTTCTTTGTTATCGTTACCTCCTCAAAAAGCGTCGAAATAGGCTTGATCGCTGAGCTAAAACCAGCTTGTGGTCTCTCCAAAGTTGTTAACCTCCGAAGCCTATATATAATGAAAGGGTTTGACAAAAAGATTCAAGGCGAGGCTGCCAATCGTGATGGTCACCGCGCTTAAAAAGAGCGCCCTTAGCGCTACAAGCGTTTCCACAACTCATTGCACAAGCCTCAGGCGCATATTGCGATTTGGACACACCCGGAATTGAACCGGGGACCGCCCGCATGCCGGATCTCCAGAATATCCCGAACTGTCCATGCTAAGCGGGCGTGATAACCAACTACACCATGTGCCCGCGCTTATCTTTCGTGGAGCACCTCAGAGATGTGTGTTGGTCTTGAAGTCGTACCGGATACAGAATTTTCAGTGATGCTCGTTCCCAGTGAAAAACGCAATCGTGGTGTCTACGTCCGGCCTCAAGTTCAGCAAGTGTATATAGGACCGGATCGAAGCACTCACCTAATTTAGGGGGACTCATTCAACGATTACCCCCGTAACATCCGCAAACCAAGCTCTCTGATCTTTTGAAGAGGCCCAATCGTCGGCATGACCTAGCCAAACCCAATCTCAGTCAGAATTTACGACAATTGGATGACAAACGAACGCACCACCAAAGAAAGTCTGAAAATGCATTCCCGTAAATTTTCCCTCTCCAGAAGAACAAAGGGATAATCCGTCGATGGAGATGACGGGGGCGCCGTCGATGTAGAGTGTTACTTCACCTAATAAAAATCAGGCGTTACGATCGTCGGAGTAAAGCGGATAGATATCACGCACCGTTCTCCTCCCCGACATCATTTAACTTGACTCGAAACGCAACGCTCATCCACCGTCCTACAGCACGATCGAGGTGAAAAGCGCCCCTGCCGACGGAATATCCGTAATCGCTGTTTTCCTTCGAGAGTGGAGGGACTCGTGATAGTTGGTGGGCATTGCATGGTGTTGGTGGGAGGTAGGCGTATAATTCGCCGACGGATTTCGGCCTGTCCAGCTCCATCAGTAAAGTGTACCATGAATTCTAGTCACCCAAAACTCACCGCCACATTACCCTCAAATCAAAACACTGACACCTCTGCTCCTTCCGTCCACCCGTACATCCATACGCCAGATCTCCTACTCCGCCAACTCAACTGCCAATGAGTCAAGTAGGACAGCGAAAGCGAATGGTTAAGGCACTTACAGACTCCAGGAAGTTTTCCCCCTTTAACCCAATCCCATTCCTCGGACAACATCATCCGATAACTCATCACCACCTCCTTAGCCCCTTGCAAGGCTTCCGAGAAGAATGGAGGACCATAGAGGTAGAAGCTGAACCCGCCTGGGATGGGGGCTGTCGGGTTTATGCTTCCCTTGGGGTAATACGCTCCCCATGCGACATCGGGAGGTGGTATGTCGGGAGAAGGCGAGTGAGGAGAGGGAGGGATGGTGGTCTTGTGTGTTGTCTTATGTGATAGACGGTGTACGCCGAGGGATTGGTCATCTAGAGCAACAATTTGAATGCGTTTATCGTTTAGCGAGGTGCAGGTTGTGAAGCCTGTCAGAAAGTCGGGGATTGGGATGAGAGGAGAAAGAGGTGGTGGAGGCATAGTGCGAATGGTGACGGTCACGCTGATGGGATCTCTTCGGAGAATTGATCTTGAACTTGCGCCATGACATCGATTTTTTCCATCCAGGCGTAACTCGTCGTCCATCCTCGAGAACGCACTAGTCTTCTTTCCTAGTTCCTCCAATGCCAACACGCCTTGCCAAGCGCCTCACCTCAAGCCACATAGAACCCTCGGACCCAATAACCGAATTTCCAAATCAACGGAGACAAAGACCACAATGGCCCACGCCGGTCAAGGCGTCGCCTTGACCTGCCTTGACCTGTCTTTCTATAAAGGCCCAACGGGGGCACATCGTATCTTTCAAGCTGGTTATCCTCCCCTCGTCGACCCTCTCATCGATCGAGTCGCGATTTGCCTTCCATCCATCCATACCCAGAGACTGGTTTCTCTTCGTCACGACCACCCACGAACACGCCTTCCTATAATCACGATAGCATAAAGACGACAAAGACAACCTTCTATTACTCACCTCGATAATTCACTTCAAAGCGACATGCCAGTTGTCCGACACCCCCTCCGCGCCAGATGCAACGTCAGCCTCAGCGTCGTCACCTGCCCCTCAGCATCCTTCAAACCAACAAAGGCCGACAAACAGCGAGGTCGACTCACGACCGCCAAACGACTCAAACAAAAGGCGTTTGCGTCTTTCACCTATTCAAGTAGCCAGAGATCCATCTATCCAAATCGCGAGCGAGAAACAAAACACACCTTAAAATCCTTCCACACCCTCGTCGACTTCCTCTCCGTCGCTTTCTCTTCAGGCTCCTACACACCCTCCACCCTCATCCTCCCCACACACCTCACCACCCGAATCACCCACTTTGTCAAGATCATCCATGCCACCGACGACCTACGCGCCGGACGTGTCTGGTCCACATACGACGAATCCAACGAAACCCACACCCTCACACTCGTCATCCCCGCTCCCTTACAACACGGAAAATACGCTCACAGAATCCGAGACTTCACCCTCCTCTCCGACGAACAATTAATATCCTCTCGGGATTTTCTCTCTCTCGCGTTGCCGTATTACTTGGAGGCCCGTGGTCAAGAACCACCGTCACCCATTTCCCCGTTTACCTCATACTCATACGGCTTTTTGAGGGAACAGCAGTCGAAGCGAGATGATCCCGTCCATGCGTTGGTCACGGCCCCGGAAGGAAGTGCGGTGGATATCATGAGCGTCGTAGCGTGCTACTTGAGCTTTATTTCGGAGAAGGAGACGGGGCATGTGTTGAGGCATATCGACGATGATGTCGAGTATGTTGCACCCGAGTGGAGGAGAGTAGTTGGGGAAGGGGAAGGGGTCGACATTATTGAGCGCGCTGTCCTTATGGGGATGTGAGAGGATGTGTAATTTTGTACTGTATGGCTGCTCTTGGAACGTTACTGTCTCGTTAATCCACAATCTTTTATATAGATCATTGTAATACCTTGGTTATGACGCATGGATATGCGTTTACTATTCACGCGCTAAGAAAAGTTGTTCCAACTTGTCAAATACAACGCGAACTTGGAGAACGCCATCCTGAGTCCTGACCGGCGTTTGACTACAATCGGTGATCTTGTAGTCGCAAATGATCCTTTACAAGGACGTGGGGCTGGGACCATTGGAACCCTTCTCAGCGATCAAGGGATGCCTCTTCCGCGGTGTGTAAACATTTGTTTGACTCTTATAATCATACAGAATTGAAGTTTTCAATGGATTCAGGGACTTCATTCGAGATGTGCTGTCAAATTATGCACCGGAGGGCCGTCATCGGCGCTTTCCTGGTGCCAATAGAATTCGTCGATCTAATCTTTCAGCGCTCGGCCCTAATCACCAACACCACGCCGATGGTCACGATAAATTGAATGCTTGGCAAGGCCTCGATATGGGCGGTGTACTAACGGGATCAAGGACCAATGGTCCTCGTATGTTCTTCAGCTCGTTGTTGTCCCAAACAATCGACTCGCTACTACAGTTGGGCACAACCACCTTGATTGTGTGAGAAAAATATCTCAGTGAGTCGTTTTTCACCTTACAGCCTATGTTTTCGTTCCAATATTTCGCACAACAAACACTGCAGCCAATCCTGGCATTACCCTCGTTGCAAATAAAGGTAGGGAGACTGGAGTGTTATACGCTAACCAAACAGGTTTACGGTGAAGTAAAACTTCGCTGAATTAGAATCCTAGGTTTTTCCCATCTGAAATATATTGCTAGCATAATGTATGCCCCAGACCTTGACGAAAACGAATTCCCACCCGTATTACAAATGAGAAGTGTACACAACACGCCAATTGAAGGATTGTGGCATCGGTTTCAGCAAACGTTTGGCCAAAAATGTCAAGGATACCATTCGCAGTGGATTCCAATGCGGAATTTATAAGCCTAATAATCCCCTCCATCTGCAGAAACAACTCGACAATTTTGGTGAATATTGGAATAATCACTGGCACAAGACTCTTCGGGCACAGATCGGCGTTCTCCTTGTCGTCGGCTTGCATGAGAAACCAAACATGTCAGGATTGACGCCAAGGCACGCACGCCTTCATGATTCCGGATCTCTCGGCTCAACAATGTGGAATTGGTGTCGACCGAGTCGTCGTAATTGATGCGCTTCGTAACCAAGTTCTGGTCTCACGCGAGGAGTCAATGCGTTGCATTGACGAGGAGTTTGAAGTCACTGCACAAAGTGGATATGAAATTATTGGAGAGCCGTCGCTTGACAATTTTTTATGTGGTTGGGAAATATTTGAATCGATGGAGTCCACATTCAATGTAGCATAAGTAAATTTAATTCTGGTGTAATACAACTCTGGCAACAGAAGACAAAATGCGGCGGTGGGCCACAAACATTTACGAGAGTGTGGCACATACATCTCTACCAGAGAGAAATCCGATAGATGTTCTGAGTCGTCGGAAGTTGAGATTCTGCCATATAGTTCCCGCCAACGCTACTGGTGGGAAGTCTCTGTAATACACACTCCGACTCGGAGGATGCTGGGCGCCGTAGATCAACCGTAGATATGCGATTCAATGCCGGCTGTGCAAGTCCGGCACACTCCGAGTCCCACATGTGTCAAGCCATTGTGCTCAATCTTGATAACAGTGCACTGCCATATTCGATGTACAGAGTGGACGCCACGAGGATAATCTCTTCGATCGTGCCGTGGAAAAAAGCTGTACGCCAAGTGTATTGTCTCTTTGAGTTTCTTTACCTACAACGTTCAACTCAGCCAACTTCCACTAAACCTCTTTTTCGATCGACAAGCTTTAATCAACCTCTTCATCACCATGCCAGAGTCAAAATTGCCCTCCGATAGTTATAACAAATCAGATGCGCCTTCCATCCAAGAGCTAGGATCTCACATCGTGGGCGCTCGTGTTCGTACCACGAATTAAAGGAATATCTTTTGTGGTCGTTAACGATACTTATACAGACCTTGGGTGGAGAAAGTGACCGTACCGAAGCCAGTGCTCAGGAGAGCCCTCAACAACTAGTACGTCCTTTAGAACGTTCAATACATCGCGATAGGCTAACGAAGAGCAGGTCACTGTAGATATCGGCCCAGCTGGACACACCACAGACATTGATAGGAACACCATCGCTAGTGATGTAAGTAAATGACGTTGTCTCCCTTCCCAAGTTTGTGATTATAATGACCTATACTGCAGGAGTTTATCAATGACGGCGAGAACGATGTGTCTGAAACTCACGTCCTGGGAGCTCGCGTTCGTATTACGAATTAGGGAAATATCTTTTGTGGTTGTTAACAATACTTATACAGATCCCCGGTGGAGAAAGTGACCGTACCGAAACCGGCGCACAGGCGAACCCTCAACTACTAGTACGTCCTTTACAATGTTCAATACATTGCGATAGGCTAATAAAGAGCAGGTCACAGATATCGGCCCAGCTAGATGCACCACGGACATTGATAAGAACACCATCACTACCGATGTAAGTAAATGACGTTCATTTCCTGAGATTGTGATTATAATGACCTATACTGCAGGAGTTTATCAATGACGGCGAGAACGATGTGTCTGAAACTCACGTCGTGAAAGCTCGCGTTCGTATTACGAATTAGGGAAATATTTTTGTGGTTGTTAACAATCCTTATACAGATCCCCAGGTGGAGAAAGTGACCGTACCGAAACCAGTGCGCAGGCGAGCCCTCAACTATTAGTATGTCCTTTACAAAGTTCAATACATCGCGATAGGCTAATGAAGAGCAGATCACGGATATCGGCCCAGCTGGACGCACCACGGACATTGATAGGAATACCATTGCTAGCAATGTAAGTAAATTACATTGTCTCACTTCCCGAGATTGTTATTATAATGATTTATACTGCAGGAGTTTATTAACAATGGCGAGGATGATGTGTCTGGAATGATCAATCTTGCCGTCTTGCTCATGGCAGAATGCAAGGCAGGGTTATCACTTTCAGAGCTAAACAACATGGTCTCCCTGTTCCGTCAAGTTACAGATAGCCGCCCAGCAACACACCTGCTCCACCGTGCTGCCAAGAGAGATCTTGCGTCCGTATTGGGCATCAGATTCATGTACACCAATCAGAGAAATGATTTGATGGAATCTTTGACTCTTCGCAGTGAGATGGCCGAGGGTGGGATTTTAGAACAAGACGTGAGCCCTGAAGTGAGCACATTTCAGTCTTGACAACATATTTTGGCTTAGTGAAGATTTAGACCAACACCGCCCTTCGACTAGATGACAAGACGGACAGAGAAGACACATCGGAACTGGCAAAGGGATTGTTGACAGACTTCCAGAAGTCAACTTCCCTTCACATTCTGAACACCATTGTCTTCCTTCTTCAACAGGCACTTGCACAATTATCAGCTGCGTCTACTAGCCAGCTGGTGGCATTGATCACTCTGGCTGATGCGTTATATGCTCGCTTTAACCATTCCTATGATTTGATTGACCTGAACGAAGCAATTTCGAGTTTGCAAGATGCTAGCAAATGTCGCATGGAGCGAGATCGGAACATAAACTTCCGGGTGTCTGGGCTGTTAGCGACACGATTTGATCTAACAGGAAATCTATCTGATCTTCAGACAGCATTTCATTGGGCTCTCAAAGGCAGGGAAACTTCTACAGGTATTCTGGAATCACTTCAGTTTGCCATTGAACTTCGTAAACGGCATACAATGTCTGGTAACATGGCTGACCTGAATACTGCAGTGGAACTTTTTAGGGAAGGGATTGCAGAACTACCTCAGGAAAGTGAAATTTATTCATATGTTGTTGGTAGTCTTGCTTCTGCACTGTTGACTCAATTTGGGCAAGAAGGTCAGCAAAGTGATCTTGATGAAGCCATATCTCTATTCTGGCAAGCTCTTGAGCTCCAACTTCCACCCCATCCTGATCGATCCAGCTTGCTCACTGATCTTGCTTCTGCACTGTTCACCCGATTTGAGCAAGGAGGTCAGCGAGGCGATCTTGATGAAGCCATTTCTCTGTACAGGCAAGCACTTGAGCTTTTCCCTCCACCCCATCCCAATCATTCTGGCTTGCTCAACAATCTTGCTTGTGTACTGTTGACCCGATTTGGGCAAGAAGGTCAACAAAGTGATCTCGACGAAGCCATTTCTCTGCACAGGCAAGCCCTCAAGCTCCATCTTCCACCCCATCCCAATCGATCTGGCTCACTCAACAATCTTGCAAATGCACTGTTGACACAATTTGAACAAGGAGGTCAGCAAAGTGATCTCGATGAAGCCATTTCTCTATACAGGCAAACTCTTGAGGTCCAACTTCCATCCCATCCTGATCAATCTGGCTCACTCAACAATCTTGGGCATGCACTATTGACCCGATTTGGGCAAGGAGGTCAGCAAAGTGATCTTGATGAAGCCATTTCTCTGTGCAGGCAAGCTCTTGAGCTCCAACTTCCATCCCATCCTAATCGATCCAGCTCACTCAACAATCTTGCTTCTGCATTGTCAACCCAATTTAAGCAAGGAGGTCAACAAAGTGATCTTAATGAAGCCATTTCTCTGTACAGGCAAGCTCTTGAGCTCCAACTTCCATCCCATCCTAATCGATCCAGCTCACTCAACAATCTTGCAAATGCATTGTCAACCCAATTTGAGCAAGGAGGTCAGCAAAGTGATCTTAATGAAGCCATTTCTCTGTACAGGCAAGCTCTTGAGCTCTTACTTCCATGCCATCACTAATCGATCCAGCTCACTCAACAATCTTGCTTCTACATTGTTAACCCGATTTGGGCAAAAAGGTCAGCAAAGTGATATTGATGAAGCAATTTCTTTGCACAGGCAAGCTCTTAAGCTCCAACTTCCACCCCATCACAATCGATCCATTGCTGCTTAACAATCTTGCTACTGCACTTCAGACCCGATTTGAGCAAGGAGATCAGCAAAGTGATCTTAATGAAGCCATTTCTCTGCACAGGCAAGCCCTTAAGCTCTTACTTCCACCCCATCACAATCGATCTAGCTCACTTAACAATCTGGCTTCTGCATTGTTGACCCGATTTGAGCAAAAAGGTCAGCAAAGTGATCTTAATGAAGCCATTTCTTTGCACAGGCAAGCTCTTGAGCTCCAACTTCCACCCCATCCCGATCGATCCAGCTCCTCAACAATCTTGCAACTGCATTGTTGATCCGATTTGGGCAAGGAGGTCAGCAAAGTGATCTTAATGAAGCCATTTCTCTGCACAGGCAAGCCCTTGAGCTCCTCCTTCCACCCCATCCCGATCAATCCAGCTCACTCAACAATCTGGCTTCTGCATTGTTGACCCGATTTGAGCAAAAAGGTCAGCAAAGTGATATTAATGAAGCCATTTCTTTGCACAGGCAAGCTCTTAAGCTCCAACTTCCACCCCATCACTGATCGATCCATGCTGCTCAACAATCTTGCAACTGCACTTTCAATCCGATTTGGGCAAGGAGGTCAGCAAAGTGATCTTAATGAAGCCATTTCTCTGCACAGGCAAGCTCTCGAGCTCCGACTTCCACCCCATCCCAATCGATCCAGCTCACTCAACAATCTGGCTTCTGCATTGTTGACCCGATTTGAGCAAAAAGGTCAGCAAAGTGATATTAATGAAGCCATTTCTTTGCACAGGCAAGCTCTTGAGCTCCAACCTCCACCCCATCCTGATCGATCCAGCTCACTCAACAATCTTGCAACTGCACTTTGACCCGATTTGGGCAAGGAGGTCAGCAAAGTGATCTCAATGAAGCCATTTCTCTGCACAGGCAAGCTCTCAAGCTCCGACTTCCATGCCATCCTGATCGATCCAGCTCACTCAACAATCTGGCTTCTGCATTGTTGACCCAATTTGGGCAAAGACGTCAGCAAAGTGATCTCGATGAAGCCATTTCTCTGGATAGGCAAACTCTTGAGCTCCGACTTCCACCCCATCCTGATCGATCTAGCTCACTCAACTATCTTGCAACTGCATTGTTGACCCAATATGAGCAAGAAGGTCAGCAAAGTGATCTTGATGAAGCAATGGCTCTATTCCTCACTGCTACCCAATACTCCTTCCAATCTCCATCTAATCGCCTCCGCATTGCAAGGAGATGGATAGATTGTGCAGATAGAAACAAACATCGCTCTGCCATTGATGCTTATGAAGCTTCCATACAGGCTTTACCACAGGTGGCTGCTCTGAGCTTGGATGTTGCATCACGACAGAGGTCCATGACTGCAGGCAGTGATGGCTTAGCTCGGAATGCAGCTAGATGTGCTATTCTCTCTGGACATTTAGATAAAGCCATAGAACTTCTGGAAGCAGGACGAAGTATCTTCTGGTCACAGGCCTTATCTCTCCGCTCGCCCTTTGATCAACTCTACAAGATTGCACCAGAATTGGCAGATAAGCTACAAGAAATTGCAACTCAGCTGGAAATTGGATCTTATCGTGATGTTTTTTCTGAGGTTTTGGATAACAGGAAGAAGTTATTTATAGACCAGGAAGCAGCCCGACTCAATCGCCTTAACGAAGAATGGGCTCAATCTATTCACAAAGTTAGAAAATTGAGTGGATTTGAGGACTTTCTATGCCCATCCCGTTTATCATCACTGAAAGCTGCTGCATCAGAACATCCAGTTGTCATTCTCATCGCCAATGATGATGAAAGCCATTGCCTCATCATGACATCAACAAATATTCATCATATCCCTCTTCCAAACTTAGGCACTCCTAAGTTGAAGAAACTTGCTCATATCATTCGGATAGCTGCCTCTCAGTCACCAATACGGTCGCTCATTGATCAAAGCCATGACATAATAATAAGGCTTCTGGGAGAAGAGCGAGCAGGAAGGGTTAACAGCAATACTCAACTTAGATCTTCAGATGGCATGTTCAAATTTGTTTTGAGGGTGCTGTGGGATGAATTGGTGAAGCCAGTCATTAATCTTCTCAATATTAAGGTCAGTTATTATATTTCTGTGAATGATCAACCTGCTTATAGAATATTGTAGAAATCAGATGAAATGGCTGTCCTGCAATGGTGCCCAACTGGTCATTTCACCTTCCTTCCCATTCATGCTGCAGGCTGCTATGATGATGCACTAGCTATTGATTGTGCCCCAGATTACTTCATTTCCTCATACACTCCAACCATAGGGGCACTTCTGGCTTTAGATTCAGCTCCCACCATCCAATCACTCCAAATGATGGTTGTGATCCAATCTAAGGGGCTGCCTTCTACAAAAAGGGAGCTAGCAAACATTCGGAAACATGTATCTTGCAAAGCTCTCATTGAATTAGGAATTCCAGAAGCACCTGCTGGAGTTGAAACTGTTGCCTCCCATCTTTCAAATGTGTCTATTGTTCACTTTGCATGCCATGGAAGTCAGGATCCATGGAAGCCACTTGATAGTGGGCTCAAGCTCGATGATGGGCTACTCCGAATCTCAAGAATTATGAAAGAAAAGATGCCAAATGGATCACTTGCCTTTCTCTGTGCTTGTGAGACTGCCATGGGTGATAAAAATCTACCAGATGAGGCAATGAGCATAGGTGCAAGCTTGATCTTTTCTGGATTTCAGCGGGTCATTGCTACTATGTGGTAGGTTGTTATTAGCATTGTTTCCTCAAGTTTTTCTGAAAGTGTTAATATAGGAAAATGATGGATGAAGATGGACCTATTATTGCAGACAAATTCTATGAAGAACTTTTCTTTGGCAGTTCTGATGGAAGACCAGCTCTTAAGCCTGATGTGACAAAGTCTGCCCTAGCCCTTCACCTTGCAGTCAAGAAACTTCGTTCTCAGAGTGTGTCATTCCAGCGTTGGGTTCCCTTTATCCATATGGGCAAATAATATGGTCTGTACTGTACATTTTGGCTTCATTTGAGATATATATTTTTCCCCTTTTTCTAAGGATACCCTCTGTTACAAAATCTTTTTAGATATAAACATGTGCAGACACCTACACATTCCTAAGTTGTAGTCTAGACCATACTGGTCAGTTCTAGATATGCATCCCATGACTCATTCCTTTCTTTGATATTGCAGTCCACAGTCCATAGTCTATAATTCACAGTTCTCAGTCTGTAGTTTGCAGTTCATAGTCCATAGCCTGCAGTAATGTACTCATCATATAAAGAGTACATACTCATTTGTATTCAGTAGCCTGAACCTGTGAACCCTACAAATCCACAAAATTCACTTGTATCATGGTCTGTCTACGAGAGACTACCTGAACCTAGGCAATACAAGCTTAGTTCAAACCTCAGAACCTCAGAACTTGAGAGTGTGAAACTTCTTGGGAGATAAGTCATCAGCCGTCGCCACGTGGTGTATACATTCTTGCCTGTCAAACCCAATATTTATCTCTTGGCATTTAAAAATTTAGCACATGCAGACCAGGAAGCTTGTACGAGTGGAAACCTGAGGGTACCTCATCACCATGTCTGCAGTGTCCTCGTCGAGATTGGGGCAGGGATGCACACTATAAACACGGCTCTGATCCCATTTTGTTTTCCCTGCTTTCCCTTTGTACTACTTCTGTATCCATATGTTTTACACAGTCAGTTGCAATATAACTCAAAAGTCCAGGAGGATGGTCATACAAATGATTCTGAAAGGATTGAAAAAGAATAGACACGGCTTCCTCCTTTCCCGATTATTCATCGCGCTTGGAACACATCCATAAAATGAACAATTATCTGCATCGGGTTCTTTTTCGGAACCCTGTAAACCCTGTACCTGAATCTCCAGCGGAAGATGTAAACTGGGCGCGCTGTGCCCATCATCCCCTGCGTTCCATATAATTCTCTACCTTCCCCATTCGTAGTGTACAACATAGTGTATAATTTTTATCAAGCTACGACTCGGAAGTGTATACCTAGTTACTGTAGAGGCTTCACAACAACGTAGAAACCCAGTGGAGCGAGAACATTCAAAGTGAGGAGGATGATCTCCTCCTCCCCCGAATCTGATTTCACGATCTCACCTGAAACAACCTCGTAGAGCTGACAGTTCTACGCGTCATGGTTCTGTTCGAAACCCTGTCAAGTCCGTACCTGAATTTGCAAAACCTTTTCCAGCGGAAGATACGATACCAACGTGCAGCACGCAACGTACCAGTAGTCCGAACCGCCCTCTTACTTCTGCATCATTATCGTCCGAGTGTAACTTGGATATCCAATTCTGAATGTTTTCAATGCTTCTCAACAATAAACAAGCACAGTCGGGGACGCGAGAACGTACATAGAATGATAACCTCCTCCTCCTCACCCAATTCCGTATCCATCGCGTTTGAAACGAATCGGTGAAACTGACACTTTTACACGTCAGGGTCTTCTTTAGAACAACGCCGGTTACATGCCTGGATACCAGTAACCTTCCGTTAGTGAAAGATCACGGCGGGCGCATAGTTTTCCGTATTTCGTACCATTTCTTACATTCTTCCCATTCGCAGTACACCAGATGTGAGCAATGACATCTTATGTATCTTCTAAATAGTATTAGTGATTTGAGACGTTGACAGAGCGAAGTGGACGTACCTTCCGAGCAATAAGTAAGGATCTGCTCGTCCTCCCCCGATTCTTCATCGTGCTTGAACCGCACACACAGAAATTCCATCTTGACGTATCAGGGTTCTATTCGGGTAGTATCCCCGGTGTCCCTGCACTTTTAAAATCAGAATTTCTGGTTTAAGAAGTTTGTGAGCGGGTATGTATGCTCACCAAAGTGTTTATCGTCCGAATTCACATGTGGCTATGATATCCTTTCGTGTTTCTGTATAAAAGGAAGCGTTGAGAGTTCTGTAGTCATGTCATAGAATCAAATACACTTACCTGTGAAGAAAGTACCAAGCGCGTAGATTCATTTGGGTGTAGATGGCCGCCGAACGTCTCCTCTCCCGATCCCGTATCGAAAAACGGCGTTCTGAATCTTCAACTGTCAGAAAAAAATTCATCAAGGGTCTGATGAATGTACGTACGTTGATTCAGAACGACTTGCTTGTATTTTTTTTTAAGCGTTCTGCACCTTTCGTGAACGGGAGCGATTCCCGCATAATGAATATCTCTGTCTGTGTATGTTAGTCGGTTTTTCTTTCACAAATGAATTGGATGTACGTCGAGTGACACCTGATGACAAAGTAAATCAAACGAGGCCGGAGTGAATTAAAGAAACCCAAAGGAGTGGAGAAATGAGAGAACTTACGCAATGATCATTTCCTCCGTCCCCTCACGTCAGTCACAACTCCCCTGCTTCCTGCCAAGCGAGAAGTGCTGTAAAAACAGGGCGGTCAGCCCAGTATTTCTCACCAGTGCCCACTTACACACACTCTCCTCCTCCCCTCTTCTCCTCTCGTCGTCAACGTCCGCTCCCGTCTCGTCTTCATTCGCTGGTAAGTCATTTGCTCGTCGTCCGTCATCGCTGATGTTGACGTTGCTCATCGACTTTGTAGGCCCTTCCTTCAACGCCGATATGTAAAGGAGCGCTGGACGGAAGGGAGGTACGTCAACGTTGGTTTTTTCAAAGACAACGTTCCGCTTACCTTTGCTTGTATTCCCTTTTTGCAGGCTCGTGGTGACACTCCTAATGACAACGGTAAGTTCTTGTCAACGCGAGTCCTGCACCCATCCTTAATTACCATGCTGCTCGTGCTTCCCAGGTTACCCATCATCGAGTTGTCCGCCCCGTTTGTACGCGACGTGGACCATGGCTTCGTGACGGATAGTTTGGAGGGGTAGAATAGGCGGTGCGAGGTGTGAAGGGCGTGTAAATGTTGAATCTGCAAAAGGTACGTCAATATCGTTCATTTCACCTCGCGTACATAATATGTACTCACCTGGAAACCTGTTTCCAGCTCGTTCGTCGCGTCTCCCGCGTAACATCCGCCCTCGATGAGAGTCGAGACTCTAAAAGGTTGGTCAACGTCTTTCCGTGTTTGAAATATCCACTTACCTTTGTCTTATAGCGTCGACGTCGTTCACAATGGCATGATAGCCTACAAAACGTAAGTCACCGTACCCGATTCACAAGAAAAACTAACTGACCTGAGTTGTGGCTGAAGTTGATTGATGGGCGTTGTGGCTATGGGAAACGGTGAGCACAACATCAAAGTGTAACAATGTGTGACGATAGTGACTTACCTTTGACCACCATCTAGCCGCCGCCAACATCGTCGCCCATTCGACTGGGATTGCGGTACACGAAGCTCTCAGCGTACATACGATGGACGTGACGCCTGCTTCAGATTCTACTATTTTCTAGGTCGTAGGCAGGTAAGTTGTTGACCATGGATTGAGAGGCTTCGCAAATGCTTACCGTGATTTTGCACCACCAGTTAGACGTCGACAATCCCACACACTACGAACGACTCGATCGCTGAGGGAACGGGACTGGATAGTCAAGCACGCGGTGTAGAGAGGGAGCAGAAAGGTGTAGCATGCCTGGTACGTGTATTCTCCCTTTCCCCTTTTGTCCCAAACGTCATGTACATCTCCTCAGGCCATCCCGCTGAGTGCCCGTGAAACATACGTCTGAAACCGAGTGCACATATGCCCACGTAAGTAACGCCGCCTCTCCTGATTGTACGTTGACCGCTTACATGGTTTGTAGCCAGTCAACTCCACCAGATCACGACAACGAGCGCAACGTACCGCCGACGTGCACACCCGACATCGTCAAGACATCTCCCGGCTTTGTTTATCGCGCCAGCAAAGTGGGGAGCTCGAAACAGGCCTAGACGACCCATGCCCCTGCGTAAACGGCGATGCGCAACGATGTTCACCATTGAACCCGACCCGCAATTCAGAGGCTCGTCGTTTGAGGAGGGGTTTAGGGAAGCAAAGGTGCATCGGGGGGGATTAGAAATGAGCGTGGCGAAGCGGACGATACGGAAGAACAAGGGCTACTAAGAAAAGTCCCTTGCTCGCGTGTTTGTGTTTCCTCCCACCCACATCTAACCTCACTCAGCTTGGACCGAAAGCCCATCCCAACTCCAGCCTTCTACCGACGTCGTCAAAGGGGAACTGAAGACACGGACGACCAACACCCTCTTATCAGCGACGACGCGCCCCCAGAACTATGTTCACCGTTGAAGGCGATGCGAGGTTCGTCGTTGGAGGCATTGAAAGAGGAGTTTTGGAACGCGAAGGGGCATCTGTGGGTTTGAAAGACAAGCGTGATGCGGGGGAGGAATCATATGTATCTACAAGTTGTTTAAATAATACGCGAAATACAAGGTGTGGCATACGCGAAAAATGTCAGTGGGTCCGGCTTGACGCATAGACCGTGGCAACGTGCCTTGCAAGATGCGTTCACGTTCGTCGAACATTGTGTAGTCACAATCGAATCCAAGCTGCTCGCTAGCGATGACGTAGCAGTCACTCTTCCTTTTTTGTACTGCTTGGCTGCTCTGAGAACGTTAATCTGTCGTTAATCCACAATCGTTTATATAGATCGTTGTAACACCTTGGTTAACACGCATAGCTATGCGTTTATTATTCCTTCCCTAAAGAACGTTATTTGAACTTCCTGAATACAAGTTATACAACGAACTTGGAGAACGCCATCCTAACGGGCGTTTGATTTCAATCCGCGATCTTGTGAGATTAGAAAACGCGAAAACAACTGGAACATTCGATGCGACGAGTTTCCGATCAGAGCATGTATGCTGTTCAAATTGCACAAAAAATAAAATGCGTGTATTAGAACTTGACCTGTGTGTATAACTTGCCCCGCGTGTATAACTTGACCTGCGTGTATTATAAATTGACTCTCGTTTATAAGAAAATTGTGAACTTGCGTGTATATCACATTTATGTTCCATGTTATAATTTACAAGTGACATCTTTAAATGGCACGTGACCTATCTGTTGACAGAAATTTCCTCCTCCACAGACCAGGGCATCATTCACTAAAATAGAACAAAGTTAAATACCATAAGTGTAGATAGATATAAGTGTACTGACCAAAATTTCGAGGCACAGGACACGCCGTTGTCACTGCATCTGGCGTCGGCGCTCTTGCAGCGTAGTGGACGACGGCAGTAAACAAAGCCAAACTTCGGGACCTATGTCAATATGTGGCTTCACAGATCGGGGCATCACTCACTAAGGTACACGGTCACCAGATATTGTAAGATTATCTATCTATAAAATAAATTGGAGGCACAGGCTGCTCCCAGTCCAGTGTCCAATACTAATTCCTGCTACATTAGTAGTGGGTTTTGTTGGCCTGCCAAACTAGGAAACTTTGCTCACATGGACAGTCATGTGAATGGAGATCACATGCACATTTCTCCTTTTTATTTCAGTCAGACAATGACAGTGTACTAAGTTTGTACTAAGTACCAAACTGTTTCGTTTATTGGGTAGTATGGATATGCATCATTGTAATTTTTGTGTAATAAGTTCACTTTGTCTAGCAAGGTCAACATTGATCTTTTTTTTTTCTCATAAAGATTGGGACAAATGCACTTTTTTGCAAACATGGCATGCTGCTGCTAAGAGCCGGCCAAAGGCCGGGCGATGAGCAGTGGCCCCTTTGCACAATTCACTGCTCCAATGGAAGGTCAGGTTGAGAATAACATGAGGTGTATGTACCAAAGGCCAAGTGATGAGTAGTGTTATTCAATGTATGTAACATTATTATGTATCCGCACTCTGCACTGAGTCTGTGGGGGCACTCGCTTCACCATCTAAGTGTTGACTCAGCACCCAATCAACATGTTACACTGATAGTTGTTTTGACATGGAAAAGTCCTGTGCCTTTGATTTTTTCCCCAGACACTCAAAGATAACTCACTTTACAGTTTCTGGTAATGCTGTACCTTAGTGATGCCCCAGTCTGTGAGGTAGTGTTTGGAAGTCCGGTCTCGTGACTGGAAAAAGACCATAACCAGACCGGACCAAGACCGCAAAAAACCGGACCTGTGTTTCGGTTTTTTTATTTTTGAGAACTAAAGACCGCAAAAAGACCGGTCTAAATGAACCGGTCTTAACCGGTTAGGATTGGTTTTTTGTAGCCCATTAAATACCCTTCAAAACGCACCCAAGCACGTATTAATTGGTTGAAATTTGACAAAGATATAAATAAAAATGTAAAATTTCGTTAAAAATAGTAGATGTACAAGACTTTTTTTATAGAAACACCAATTCTCAATGGAATTTAACGTTCTTGGGCTATTTTTAAAGCTACAAAAAACGTTAACAAATTTACCGATTCACATTTTTAAAATATTGGCCAAAAAACCGGTCTTAAACCAGTTACAACCGAAGAAGACCAAGACCGGTCTATAGACCGCAAAAAGACCGCAGACCGCGGTTTTTTGCGGTCCGGTTCGGTCTTTTGACGTCTGGGAAAAATGCAGGCTGGTTACGGTTATGGTTAAAGCCCAGGGGCATCAAAAAACCAGACCAGACCGGACTTTTAAACACTACTGTGAGGTGACATATTTAATGTGCATGCCTTGACATCCCAGAGTTTGGCTTTGTTTACCAGCATCATCCACTAGAGGCTGCAAGAGTGTCAATGCCAGACACAGTGACAACAGTGTGTCCTGTGCCTCTGAAACTTGGTCAGTATACTTGTATTTATCTACCCTTACAGTCTCTGACTTTGTTTTACCTTAGTGAATGACGCCCCAATCTGTGAGGTGACATATTTGACATCACTTTTGAGATTTCGCCTCAAACCTTATTCCGGATTTGGATTTGTAAAAATAAACCTGTCGGGATGCCCACCTTGCTTTGCCAAAGTTTGCGTAACGGTGCTCGATCATGTGATCAATACCAGTTATGTCCCAAACGTGCATCGTCCTTTCCTTCAACGCGCATGGTATAACGCCTACCTACAGTTGAGTGCAAAAAGAATGAAGGTTGGTTCATTTTTCTGGTTCTTTCTAAGAATCTATTGTACCTCAAATGTATTTGTGTATTCTTTTACATCATGTAGTTGTGTTACACTTCACTTGGTATGGACTAATTTCAGTGAAAGCTGGAGCCTTGAGAAGGTTTTTGTTCTGGAGGCCACTTTTGGCATCTGAAAAAAAAAATATGCGCTAACTGGGGAGGTAGCCAGAACATACCTCTGGTCAACCTGAATGAGCCTATCAAAGAATCAATCAAAAATACTGAGTGG